ACAAAGAACTGCAAATTTGTTTTTCAAAAAATATATATTGAACTCTACTTAGTAAATTTGTTGCTCATAGTAGCACTGCATTGGCAAGTCTGAAGTTATTAACAGAGCAAATCAGTAAATATACTGAGGTTCTTGGGAACCAGAATTTTCACTGTGTGAGAAGAAAGATACAGATATTTTCAGGGAAAATGCAAGAAAGAATTGTGGTATTAGATAAAATTATGATTTTTATATATACATATTTCTTAGCTCTGCCTGTTAGAAAAGCCTAAAAAAACCCCCACAACTTAGTAGCAATGAGCACACAAAACACCCAGATCTTGCTTTCTTAATACCATTCTCCATTAAAATGAAGCAGAGGTCCTTGGAGAAAAAACTGATTCCTGTTCTGGGGACAGGAAAATACAAGGTGAACAGGAAACTGCTTGTGCCATTAAGCAAAGAAATGTTCCAAGACTGATGGGGAGATGGCAAAAGCACACAGGAACTAGCTTGAACGGGGCTCCCACTGGATAACTCCAGAAAATCTGAGCAGTCAAAGTATAACAATGGTAACAGATCATAGCATATATGAAAAAAAGAACCCATCAGTCCATAGTGGTTTGTAAAGAATGGTGAAAGGCAAAAAATGGAAGCAAAGGGGAAACCTCTTCTTTACAGAAGAATGATACCTAATACATGTAGAAGAAATGATAAAATTAAGAACTCACCCTATTACAACTACCCACGTAGTTACTGGCAGAAAGATGATCGATGAATGCTACCATTTCCTGAAAGTTTGCTGGTAAACAGGATATTCACATAAATTTTAAAATATCACCTTACAGGCTACTTACTAATTACAAAAGGGAAAGATTGCTTTTTCAATGGAGAAATCTGAAGATACTACTTTAACCAAGTGACCAAACTTAGTATCATCAGTAATGGGAACACACCAACAATATATGAATCTGACAATCATCAATACATGATGCAGTGGGAAATATCACCCTGTAGTAGTCTTGCCAAGATTTTAAAATCTGAATCCAACCATGAGAAAACAGACAAATCCAGATTGTGAGGCAAACTTACTAGCAACTGGCATGGAGTCATCAAAAATGTTACTGTGATGAAAGACCGAAAAAGAAAAGCTGAGAAACTGTTCTAGTGTGAAGGAGATCAAGAGACATGACCACAAAATGTAATGCTTGATCTCTGAATAGACCCTGAAAAAAAAACCCTTATATTATTGCTAAACTACACTGGGCATATAAAATATATGCCCAATGTTACATTTCTTGGGCTATATATATATATATATATATATATATACATATATATATATACATATATATATATATTTTTTTATTATACAAGATAATGTCCTAGTTCTTAGGGGTTACATGCTAAAGTATTGAAAGGTAAATTGTCATGGTGTCTGCAACTTACTGTTAAATGGTTCAAAATTTTTAAAAACTATATTCTAAATGCAAGGCGGTATCATGGATAGGATCCTGTAATAGCAAAAAGACATTAGCGGAAAAACTGGTGGGACTTCCCTGGTGGCGCAGTGGTTAAGAATCTGCCTGCCAATGCAGGGGACACGGATTCTATCCCTGGTCTGGGAAGATCTCACATGCCACGGAGCAACTAAGCCCATGCACCGCAACTACTGAAGTCCGCGCCCTAGAGCCCGCGTGTCGCAAGTACTGAAGCCTGCGCGCCTAGAGCCCGTGCTCTGCAGCAAGAGAAGCCACTGCAATGAGAAGCCCGCACACTGCAACAAAGAGTAGCCCCCGCCAGCTGCAACTAGAGAAAGCCTGCATGCAGCAACGAAGATCCAACACAGTCAAAGATAAACAAAAATTTATAAAAATACAGGCATATTAAAAAAAAAAAGAAACACTGGTGAAATCCTAATGAAGCCTTTAGTTAATGGCAGCGTACCAGTATTAATTAGTTTTGACAACTGAACCAAGGTTACATAAAACAACATTAGGGGAAACTGAGTGAAGGGTGTACCAGAACTCTCCATACATTAGATGCAACTTTTCTATAAAGCTAAAACTATTCCAAAATAAAAAGTTCATTTTTTAAAATGTATGTTTCAAGAGAAAGCAAATGGAGCAAAATGTTAATAACTGGTAAATCTCAGTTGACAGGTATATGGATGTTTACTAGCCAATTATTTTAACTTTTCTGTAGGTTTAAAATTTGTCAAAATGTGAAAAGAAAATAAAGTGACAGAAGGTTAAAAGCAAAAGAATGGAAAAAGATATTCTACCTGAACACTAACCAAAAGAAGACCGATGTTATTATACTAATGTTAGACAAAGTAGCCTTTAGGAAAAAATAAAGGAAAACTTCCTAATTAGAAAAGTTCAATTTACCAGAAAGACAGTAGAACCTAAATTTATATGCACCTAATCACACAGCATCAAAATTTATAAAACAAAAATTGTCTGAACTAGAAGGAGAAATATGTACATCCAGGGTCATGAGAGATTTCAGTATGTCTCCAAAACAAAGAGTACACCAAGAAAACAAAACGGTAGGATACAGATTTGAACAATTCAATCTGCAAGTATGACCTAATGCACGTATGTAGAATTCCACAACTGCAGAATAAACATTCTTTAAAAGCTCACATGGAACATGTATAAAGAATGTTCTTACACTGGGCGATAAGCTTGTCTTTACGGGAGGAGGTGTAAGGTGCTGGCATTGTGATATTCCTTGACACAGTGGTGATTACATAGGTTTTTGCTTTGTTGATAAATTCTGTTTTGTAGTTCATTTTTTGTATGTATTGTATATATTTGTGTGTATATTATATATTTCTTATTGTTGTTCAGTTTATGTGCATTACGTTTTACAACTTAGAAAGAGTTAGAATCCTTTAGGAAGGTAACCATCTCCCATAAAACAATAAGCCCAATGCAGCTTATTTTTCCTTCAGCATTTCAACTAGTTGCTGTTTTTTGCTTCACACCTGATGAAGTAATAGGCTTATGCTTAGAGGCTTCCTTATACAAAACTTATATATCTTTAAACATAAAAAATATATTCAGCCCAGCAAGACATTTATTCTTGACACATAGGAATTGAGACTGAGGGAACACAGAATCCATGAATCCCAACTCACACTTAATCCAAGGAAATACAGGTTCATAGGCTCATTTAATAAAATAGGCACAATCACTTACAATAGTAAAATTATTTTCCTTTCACCTTTCTTTTTTTTGGCCAAGCTCATTTCATTTAATTTGCCTAAGTTAAACATTAAGTAGGCTTTAGGCCCCAGGAAGGATTACTTTGATGTTGGGAATAACTAAGGCTATGCAGATTGAGGGAGCAGAAAAGAATCTAATGGAGGGCAAACAAAACAGCTGCCCCAGAAGAACCAAACAAATATGACATGATTATGGCCCATAGTAATCTTAATATAATCTTTATATCTTAATCCTGATATAGTAGTAGTAGTAATAGAAGAAGGAGTATTCAGTAACATTTACTGAAGGCTCATCATCATCATCATCATCATCAGTAACATTTCTAAAGGTCTACCACCTGCCAGGCACTATGCTATATATAAGATTTTCCTAGATTGTTTCATCTAAACATCTCACAGTAAGCCCAGAAAGTAGGTAAATTACTAGTTCCATTTTACAGATGAAGAAATAGGCTGAGTAACTGGCCAAAACCACCCAAGTAGCAAGTGGAAGAAATGGAAATCTAACATAGCTAGCCTGACTTCAGAGAATGTAACCTTATCCACTCTGCTATACAGCCTGTTCCTAGCAGATAAACAATGATTTGCACTTAATGATCTCTAAGGAATATTTCAGTTCTAACGTTCTATGATTTGCTTTAATGATTCTATAATAGAGAATTAAACTAGGCCCAGTAATCTCAAACTGTATAAAGCAAAATAAGGAAGCTCAATAAAATCTCTTTACATGACCTGGAAAGTTAGAATTCAGGTTCCTTAGGATTATCAGAGTTGGACTTTCCCCATATTAAACCCTTCAAGAAATGGAAATGTTTTTCTTGTCTGTCAATCAATACCTAATATTTTTTCCTCATATGAAAACAAATGGCACAGACAATATCAAATGACATTCCAGAAAGAGTAAGAGAATTTGCAATGCTGTTGGCTTGATCCTTTTTGTTTTGGTTTTTGTTTTATTTATTTATTTATTTTTGGCTACATTCGGTCTTCGTTGCTGGGTGCGGGCTTTCTCTCTAGTTGCGGCAAGCGGGGGCTACTCTTTGTTGCGGTGCTGCTCAGGCTTCTCGCTGCAGTGGCTTCTCTTTATTGTGGAGCACAGGCTCTAGGCACATGGGCTTCAGCAGTTGTGGGACATGGGCTCAGTAGCTGTGGCGCACGGGTTTAGTTGCTCCGCAGCATGTGGGATCTTCCCAGACCAGCGTTCGAACCCATGTCCCCTGCACTGGCAGGCGGATTCTTAATCACTGTGCCACCAGGGAAGTCCCCGTTGGCTTGATCTTTAAACACAACTGGACTCAAGACAAATCTGATAGATGCAGATTTCTGGGGGAAATCCTAAATCCTAAAATTTCACCTAAGTTTAGTGAAAATCAAATAAACTGTTTATAAACTATTGATATTAGCCTTGAGAAAATATTATTGGTGGTTAATTGAATATATTAAAGCTAAAAAAATTCTTATAAACATAAGACCTATTTGTTCTTTATATAAAATACTGAGTGATCATAATCAAGTCAAAATATTCTCATTTGTTCTTTTAAAATCATCATGAGAGTTCTTTTTAAAAAGCAAAACTAGCTGCCTAATTTACTCTTTTAGAAGAAAAACAGCTAACTCCACAATGGTTATAATATAACAAGTTGTTAGATACTCCTTAGCCTCATAAATAATATGAAGTATACCTCATACAAGAAGCATACTGACACTTCTGTAATAATCTGAAATACTAGAAGCTTCTGGGAAATGGAAATAATTTGTTAAAAAACAAAGTATGGTACAACTACTTCTCTTTGAGGCCTCAATAAGGAAAAAAAATTTATTAGGTCCAGGAATCCAAGAAAACTTGGTGTATTTACAAGTACATGCAGAATTTGATGGTTAGAAATGAAATCTATTTAGGTCCAGCCTAAGATTCTCATAGCCCATCTATAGGCACAATCATAGTAGTAATATCCCCAGAAACCAGGATAAATCTCCAATGTGCCTGAATTTAATGAACCAGATAGATCATTGTATCACCAATATCTGCCCATAGCCCATTTTCAGTAAGATGAATTTTCTTGCTCGTGAGGTCCACGTGGAAAACAGCATGCTCAGAAATGGGGGTCTTCTCAGCGTGCTCTTTTCCCAGGACGGGAACTCGCCGAGGCCCCAACAGTGGATCATCAAATCTCATCAGTTTCACTTTGGAAAGGTCTACAGCAAAAGAAAGTATCAATATGAACATTTAATTACAGTCACTGACTCAAACCCATGCCTGAGCCTGATAATTCACACTGGTTGTTATATCTAAAACAATATTTTCATCAGATTACTAAATAGGACCCGATGTCAGAAAGCAAAGCTGAATCTAACAAATCTTCATCTTCTGTCAACTTTTACCCAGATCAAAGACCAGCAGAGATTCTGGATAACACATCTCCTGAATTACAAACCAAGGGGAGGGATTGATTATATTTTTGAGTATTATCCTATATGGTCTCTCAAATCACTTTTAATACACTTCAGTTAACCATTTTTCAGAATATTAAAAAGCCTAAAACTTATTTATCTTGCTTGTCTTGCTTCCTGGAATACTTAAAAGTTCAAGAATTGTGGCTTTTGGGGAAAGATAATTTTGGAAAAAGAATTACTACTCTAAGAAATAGCATTACCAGTTTCTTGTTTTGCTCAAAGGATGAAAGTGTATTAACAAGCTGATGAGAGACAAGGAAAGAAGGGGAATGGCTGGGGGAAAGGGCGCAGGTTTTAGAATTTTGAGCTTTTGGATGAGTTCCAACCCTCCCTTGCTTGAGATTTTCCTGATCTGCTCTTATGCAAGCTGATAAGATGGCTCCTGGTAAAGACAGCACTTGTCCCTTGAACAAATTTATGATCCAACAATCCTGCCAACAACTGAGCCCAAAAGAAATTTATTTATTTCAGCAATTCTGAGACTTTTCAACATCAAATGGTTTTATTTTATATGGTAGAAAAACACCATAAATGACTACAAATGCTGATTCTGGATTTACAGCTCATTCTAAGTGTAGCATGGCTAGTTTATACTTAACCTGATCCACAGAAACTGAAGATATTTTCTGAATTACTTCCCACCCCTTTCTAAAGTAGATTGCTGGGTGGTCCATGAGCTACACTCCCTCATGTTGCCTTGAGAGTATGAAACTTAGCATGAGAGGGATAAGGTTTAAAAAAAGATAAAAGGAGACATTAATGCAGCTGGCGGCTATGCCAGGAGTACAGGTTATCCAGGCATTCTATTCTCCTTGGGAAACAAAGACTAAAGGACTACAAGTTTAGGGTAGGGATCCTGGGGCTTATAGAGCAATTATCTGCAACTACCATGAAGGCAAACCCTGCCTAAGAGTCTTTGTAGAGTCTCTGCAGAGGCCATACAATCTATCCCCATATACAGCACAAGCCCTGAAAATTAAAATGGGAAAGGAGCACTTACAGTCTTCATGACAGCTATGGTCTTATTTGGGGGGAAGAACAAAATTCATTTTAACAGCTACTGCAATTCAACATGCACATCAGTGATAGCAAATTATTTTCTTATGGAAGTAGTGACAAGTCCTACCGGCAGATTTTATGCACAAAGCCTTTTACTGAAGATCTGCCTCTGTCTCTCTCTCTCACTCTCTCTGAAACAGACCTCCCTCATCATTCCAAGCAATGCTGAATCAAACTATTTCAAAGAAGCCTTAATACCCAACCAGGCTTCTAAGTGGCAAAACACATCTGCTTTGATGTTTCACCATGTAGTTCACTACTGCCAATAAAATTACTGGTGCTTTCTTAGTGGTTTTACTATCTTTTCTTATCCCAGACCTCTCTTATCATTGAAAATGTTGAAATTTAAGTCTGCAACTACACAAGATTTAAGGCACTTAAAGATGAGAGTGATTGAGAGTCCCTAGGGATTGATAATGTGAAATGGAGCTTTTCACCTCCAAATTATTAGTTCATATGTGGCATGGGTGGTAAGTGATTTAAAGTCATTATCGTCAAATAGTTGCTCCATGGCCTTTGTGGACTGAATGACAATTTTAGCTAGTGCCTCCTGGACCTAGATCATAATCACCCTCAATACAACTGGCACTAATTGGATGACTTGCTGGCTATCACAGCAGACAGACTGAGAAATATGTTATTGAATTTCACTCCTTTCCCATCTCATATACTCAATATACTCAGTCCCCTTAGATATCAAAGTATTCTGAGGGCTTCTGGAAAAGTCTTAAGTTTAGAGCTTTTCTGTAGATACTTGGAGGAATACCAATTGCAAACTCCCCCTAATATTTCTATCTATTTTCCAAATTCACAGTAGCCACTAATACCAAACTTAAAGCACTTCATGATAATATTATTCACAGCTAGAATGACAAAGGATGTAAGAATTATGCCAGAGGCTCAGTGAGAAAAGACGAGCTAAAGAAAACACATCAGTACAGTTCTAAAGAACCTAGTCAGTGCTGCATCTGAGTGTATTTAAAAGGGAGTCAGGTTTAACATTATATTATATAATCCAATTTCCAATACAGGAATAAAACCTCTCGTGCACTATAACCTCATAATAATCCCATCCAGCATGTCCACACAAACATCTATTTTCTTTAGAAGCCACCATATTGTTCTTCAAAGTTAAGAGTTCTTCCTATTACAAAAATTTCTCATGACTGAATATATGCAATATAAAACAGCCAAAAGGAAGGCCACAAAAAAAAAAAAAAAAAAAAGGAAGGCCACAAAACGGCTTCCTATATGTTCACACTTCAAAATTTTCAAGTTCTGCTTTTTGTGGCCTATAAGTTCTAAGGATGGCATTATCATTCTACAGTACCTGGTTTATTGAAGGAACACGCTAAATGTCTACAACAAAATGGATGAACCTGGAAAACATTTTGCTAAGTGAAATAAGACATACAAAAGAACAATATTGTATGATTCCACTATACAGGCACCTAGAACAGTCAAATACATAGAGTAGAAGAGTAGTTACCAGCGACTACAGGGAGGAAGAACGGGGAGTTACCATTCAATGGGTACAGAGTTTCAGTTTGGGATGATGAAAAAGTTCTAGAAATGGATAGTGTGATGGCTGCACATCAGTCTGAATGTACTTAATGCTACCGAACTGTACACTTAAACAATGACTAAAATGGTCAATTTTACATTATGTATATTTTACCACAATTTTTTAAATGTCTGCAAACAAAAATATTCCTAGTCCTAACATATTGCTGGTACACAGTGAAAAAAGTATCAGTGTTTCCCTCATGCTAGTACACACTTTCCCTTCACCCTCACAGGTATAAATTCTCAAGGCCCTATCAAACAATGTTTTCTCCATAAAATCATCTCTGATCACCACAGCTGGAAATAATGTCACCTTTTTCTGTGTGTAAATTTTACTATATCTCTCTTACTGTACTCAGCAGTTTCTCCTTAGATTATGATTATGTACTTCAATAGCTTAGTCCCCTACTCCTTCACTAGATGCAGCCTCCTAATGAACAGTACTTTGTGGACTCCCCAAAGCCCCTAGTACCTACAAAGGAGTCTCTGCATACACACTTATCTCTACACACACTACACATGATATTCTCTCAAGAAATGACAACAGAAGGTACACGAATGACTTCAAGAGAACAAAAAATACATGGTAGAATGAATTCCAAAGGGCTATTTTAAGTCTTCTATGTAAATGGAATGTTGTTACCCTGAATATAATTCCATAAATTGGTCACTGTATGGGATTTGTAAATCTTTTCAGAAAATTTTATACTGATGGTATTTGGCCCAATCAACTCTTGATTACCATAAGAAGAGAAGAGAGAGATTATGCAAAATAGGGAATCTCAACATTAATTTGTCTTCATAATTTGGAAGAAAAATAATACAGAAACAAACTAATTCCCTTCACCTTCTTCTCAGCGTAAGACCAGCTGAGTAATTAAAAAAAGAAGCTATACAATCCCACTACTGGGCATATACCCTGAGAAAACCATAACTCAAAAAGAGTCATGTACCACAATGTTCACTACAGCACTATTTTCAACAGCCGGGACATGGAAGCAACCTAAGTGTCCATTGACAGATGAGTGGATAAAGAGGATGTGGCACATATATACAATGGAATATTACTCAGCCATAAAAAGAAACGAAATTGAGTTATGTGTAGTGAGGTGGATGGACCTAGAGTCTGTCACACAGAGTAAGTCAGAAAGGGAAAAACAAATAGCGTATGCTAACACATATATATGGAATCTGAAAAAAAAAAAAAAAAAAAACAGGTCTGATGAGCCTAAGGGCAGGAGAGGAGTAAAGATGCAGACTAGAGAATGGACTTAGGACATGGGGAAGGGGAAGGGGAAGCTGGGACGAAGTGAGAGAGTAACACTGACATATATACACTACCAAATGTAAAATGGATAGCTAGTGGGAAGCAGCTGCATAGCACAGGGAGATCAGCTCGGTGCTTTGTGGCCACCTAGAGGGGTGGGATAAGGAGGGTGGGAGGGAGATGCAAGAGGGAGGAGATATGGGGATATATGCATATGTATAGCTGATTCACTTTGTCATACCACAGAAACTAACACAACATTGTAAAGCAATTATATTCCAATAAAGATGTTAAAAAAAAAGCTATAAGTTGTTATATCAAATCTAATCATAGGAGATCTAGACTTAATCTTGCTAAGAAATTAAGATTATTTACATATTTTACCCGGAGGCACACTGTCTAAAAGAAAGAATATGAGCTTTGGAGTCAAATATATCTAAGTTTGAATTCCAGCTCCAGGATTTACTAGCTGTATGAACTTTGCAAGTTATTTAGCCTTTCTAACCTCCATTTCATCATCTGCAAAAGGGTAATAATACCCTAAATGTTACAGGGTTGTAAAAGGATTAAATGGCCAATACATGGCAGACACTCAATAACTTTTACTTCTCTTCCTTCCCCAGGAACAGATTCTGTCAAGCAGGTTAGTTTGGAATTAAGGGAATATGTTCCTTCATTCTGAATACTTCTGAGCATTGGAAATTGCTTATTACAATTTTAAAGCTAGATGGAATCCTGGAAAAATATCTAATCCAGTGTCCTCATTTCACTAAAAGAGAAATCAGTTTAGAGCTTAAGTGACATGGCCAAGCCACCAAGCTACCTAGTCACAATGCCCCAAAAGAAAATATAGGTGTCCTGATTCTGGGTCCAACACTCTTTCCACAACATTACATGACTGTCCCTAAGCAGGACAGTTACTTTTCTTTCTCCCCTCTGCTTAGAACTCATCAAATCCACAAGCTACTGCCAAATGTGCACTTCAAGGAAACCATTTACCTTTGATTCCTCGGTCCACCTTCATTAAACGCCGGATTATAGAATCACGGTTATCTCCTTGCCTAATTTCAATTTTGGTTGAGAAGTGGCCATTGAATGGCTGAGAATTCACTAGGGAAACTGATACACCAGGCTAAGAAAATAAAGAGAAAATGACTGTTATAAGAAATCAAACTTGAATACTGCTGAGGGAGAAGGAATCTCTGCTAGATTTTTAATGCCCAATGAAAGACAGATTTAATTCTGGTATTCTAAAATCAAGACCAAGGGATACTCAAATATGAAAGAAAAAATGTACAAAAAAAAAGCTCATGCTTATAACCAAATGCCTAGGTAAAAATGACTATGAGTACACATATCAATACTGATGATGGATAAAAACAATAATTCTATTTTCTCTTCTAAAACTACCACCATTTATTGAATTCCTACTATGTACCAGACACTGTACGAAGCACTTTATAGACATTATTCCTGTATCCTGAAAGGCAGTTCCTTAAGACCCTTTTTCACAGATGAAAAGCTGAGAACCAGAAAGATTAACAAAGTAACCCAAGGTCACATAGCTAGTAAGAGGCAGAGTCTCATCTTTACTGAGAATAAACTCATTTCTATGACATACTAACTCCCACATAATATAAACGATATAGTTAAAGAACTTGCTCATTATTTTAAATGGAAAAAGTCAACTGAGCCTTATGAAACTTAAATACATAGTAGCTTAATGGAATGCTTGAAAGAAGCTTGAAATAAACATATTTGTATGGGGAAAACTATTTCATGTACCTATATTCATGGCCCAAATGACTGTACTTTTAAAAGCCACCATATCTTAATGTAATGAGACTACTTATAATCTGATGATAAATTTAGGAGGTCTGCATGATCATGATTACTTCATTCTTTCAAAATAGACTTCTTCTGCTTGCTGCATTTTCAATTAAATGTGGTAAAAGTGGCAGGATATATGTAAGTCCTCTGCTTATCAAGAAAAGTAGGGCATTTTATGGACTCTCACAATGGCACTCCAGTGAACTTTACCAAATGCTGCCATTCTGAATGGATTCTTTAAGAGTTAATAAATAATATCTCCCCAAACTTCAAAACCTATTTATCTTCACCAGTAATGGTCAAAAACTAAGAAATTAAAAAAGCATTTCCAGTATAATGGGAAATGATGCATCAATCTGGTTTATGCCAGAAACCAAAAGTCTTGAATACCATTACTAAACCAAAACTCATCTGAAATATGAAAGCTCCTTTTCACTGTTTAAAGAAGTTTCACATTTCAATGTCCACTATCTTTTTTTTTAAGTCAGGTTTTGAAAACCATATTCTTATTTTTAAAATCACAATCAACATCTGATGCTACCTGTGATAGTAGAGTAAGGAAAAGTAAGGGCTGCATTAACCAGGGAATTAGAGGACCTCAAATCCAGACCCACTACTAACCAACTAAGTGGCCTAAGCCAAGCTAATCATTTAACTTCTCTGGACCTCACTTCTTTCCATCGTTAAAATGATGGTTTTAGGTGTAAAGCTCTCTAAGGTCTCTTCCAGCTCTAAAATGCAATGATTCAGTGAGATTCTTTCAACTTACTTCTGTTCTAAAAACATTAAGTGGTTTCCCAGGACAGCAATCTTCCCTGACTTTATCTTCTGCTTCAGAGGCAAACTTGACTTCTATGTGTTCTAGCTAAGTAGAGGGGAAAGATGGAAGTCATTAGTATCACTTAATATGATTGGAATTAGTCATCACCTCATTTCACCAAAGAGCAAAACCAAGTTCTCCACTTATCATAAAATAGCCTGTGCAGTTTTATTATTTTCCATATAAACATTATATGAAACCTATCATCAAGTATTTAACACTCATGTTAGATGCCTCATAGTATGTTATTTATATAGTCATGTTTACCATCTTCTATCAGGAAATCTGGCATCTACCTGCTGCCTAAAACAAAAATCAGTATAAAAGGCTTTCACTCAAATAAATGGAAAAACTCAGAAATGTAGCAAATTGCATATACCTGAATACAAGATGACCCTAAATAAAGTGTTCCCATTGTCCCAGTGTAAATATCCAAGAAGTTTTTTGACCTCCATGAGTATATATGAACATTTAGAAATATACATAAAATAGATGTCTACTAATACTTACTTTATTAACACATTTATAATTACATGACATAAAATGCTTATTTAGAAATGCTTATTTCTTCCATTCCTGTATTTCATAAGACAATTTTATTCAAACTCGAAACCTGTACTTTTTTATATTAGTGTTTTCATTATTACTAGAACCACTTTTTGAATCCTCTAACACAATTTCCTATAGAAAATTATCTTTCCTTCTGCCTAAGGTGAATAAGAGACAGCATTTTTAGAATCTATATATTAAATTGTCAGTGGGGCAGGAAGATGGAATGGGGAGAAACTCAGATATGTGAAAGCTACTGGTGATGTTCTAGTTCCTGAGTTGGGCAGTAGATTCATGGATGGTGATTATATTACTAATTAAGAAAAAAAAACAGGGCCAAACATGGACCACTGATCATATATAATGAATCAAGGATTCTAATTAATCCAAATCTGTGATTCTGAGGTCTTAAAGGGAGGGGGGAAAAAAGCAATCCAGAATATCCCATAATATGAGAGATTTTGAAAGCATTTGAATATAAGGCCTCTCCTAATTTTTTTTTACGGATAATTTTGAGAGGAAATCCAGGCATATACAGTTAGTATTTTAGGAATAGAATAACTGATAAGTGAAATAAGATCATTTCCTCTTCCTGTAACTTCTATACCACCCATTCTCTTTCCCCCCAAAATATATTTGGCAAAGGTACTAAACATAGAAGATGAAGTTTATAAAAAGGTTTATTATAAAACTAAAGAACTGGACTGTTTACGATAGTTAACTAGTTGTTGTAATCCCAGGCCCCTCTTACCTCAAGGGAATTGGTCAGATAGACTATATTCTCCATGAGCACTGCCTGTTCGTCAAATTCTAATTGCAAATCCAGAACACGAGGTCCCATCTTCTCCAGATTTTCCTAGCAGCCAAAATGGTTTTGAAAAACAAAATCACATTAAGAATATGATGAAAAGAACATATTTCTCCCAAAGCAATCAGTCTCTCAAGTGATAATATCTTCAAATTTGAACAGTTAAAGGAAAGGCCTTGGACTCATGGTTTCCCTTATCTATGTTTGTTCGCTAATGAAATTACTCGCTGAGAGTAATTATCATTTAAAGTATGATAAGATTAAGACAGCACTGAAGAGACTAGAAGGACAAGGTTTTCAGATTTATAAAAGAAATATGATTTCATCATTGTTAATTTACCCTGACTTTATATGCAAATCCAAAGAACTCACTTTGACAAGGAATCAAACAAATGTCTTAAAATACCCCTTCAGGTAACAAATAAAATAAAATAAATTAAATTAAATGTTCCCAAGATACCACATCTGTAAAGCTATTTCAAGAAACAGTGAATTAATAATAACCAAACAAAACATTCCTATAAATTTAAAAATTTTTTTAAAAGTCAGATTATATGGGTACTCAGATAATCCTGTGACATATAAAAAACCATTTCTTATTCTTAATTTTAACATTAAATATCAATATTTGCTGCTCAAGATGTAACCTTCAAGACCTAAGTTCATAAGCACAAATACAGTTAACTGCCTAGAACATGTTTCACTTACATGAAAGTGACCTGACATGATTCTTAATATTCACTACCTTCATTTACCATCCAAGTTGTTTCTTTTCCCATGAGGTGCTAGAAAACCCTTTTCTTATTCCCAGATTTATTAAACACTTTTCAAAGTTTCAACCACTAATTTGCCTCATAATACCAAGTAATACCAATATTACTGAAAAAATATTTTACTACTCAAAAAATCTAACACTGGTTTTTCAAAAAGCCAACCTTTGAATCTAACATCATTTAAAATCAGTTTCACTGGATTCTATAAAGCATGTCACCAAAATTAATTGCCTCTGCAACCAACAATGGGATATTTTGTTGATTTCCCCATATTGACAATGGATCTGACATTATGACCAATGGCACTAGCTGGGAACCAATGAATTATGAGCATACCAGCAAATATAACTTATTATTGTAGGTCAAGCCATGATTTTAAATTATTTCTGAAACTTCAAATACCATAAGGCTCAGACAGTTGACTCTGGTTCTAGGAGAATTAAAACGCTTTCCTAAGAACACAATCTACTCCAATACAAGACAAGCTAAGAGTTTTGGTCTCTTATCAGGCAGGTATCTGTAGCCCACAAGATTCAATAATTAATCTAAAGTATAAGAATAACCATTACATGTTTAGCAGGCTGGAAGACACTGATATACATTTTCTTAAAAATGTACTGAGCCTACTTTTTGACAGGTAGTATTAAAATGTATTATGTGTATTAATTCATTTACTCCTCACAGCACTCCTAAAAGGTAGGTTCTATTAATTTCCTATTTTATAGATGAAAAACATTGTGGCCCACAGAATTTAAGTGATTTGTCTAAGTCCTCCAAACTAAAAAGTGACAGAAAACAGGATTTGGGCCAAGATTTGTCTGCCCCCAGAGTCTGAGATCTTAAGCAATATACAGTCTTCTTTCTGTTTCTCTTTGTCAGGAAATCCTCCAGATCAGTTATATATATGAAAAAGACTAAGAGTTTAACCCAAAGATTCTCAATGGGGGAGCTATGGTGGGGGACTGATTTTGCTACCAGGAGATATTTGGCAATGTATGGAGGCATTTTTGGTTGTCATAACTTGAGTAGGGGAGGGAGAAATTCTACTGGCATCCAGTGGGTAGAAGCCAAGGACACTGCTAAACACCCTATAGTGCACAGGACAGCCTCCCACAACCAAGAACTATCCAGCCTAAAATACACATAGAGCCATTGTTGAGAAACCCTGATCTAACCACTATAAACAACGTTTATCCCGTTAAGCTAAACCTGTACAAATGTAGAATCTTGTTCCAGGAATAGGATCTAGTAAAAATACCCCAATGTAAGCTAAAAGACTATGTTTCCTCCTTAAAGTGAAAAGAAGAGAAGGTAGAATATGAAGAGAATCATTTAGTGCAGTAATTCTCAACCAATTTTTCTTCCACAATACATATATTTCACACACTCGGCAATTCCACAGGTAAATCCCAAATCTGATCACTCATTTCCACAACCACTGATTGAAAAGTGCTATTTTAGCAGATTTTTTGGGGGAGACTGTGCCCAAAGTGTTCCTCTTACTTCTACTATCCTATCTAACCATTACCCATGTGGTCACAGCTGCACAAGGTCCACAGCTTACCTTAATCATGGCGACAAATGGCATCACTTTCTTCATGTATTTCTTCAATTCTGGCAAATTGACTAGTTCACTAGCAATGACCTTGTTATCAGGCAATTTTCCACTGTTGGTCTAAAAAAAGAGTGGGAGACGAATGTGAAGAAAAATATTTTAAAGATAATATAGGATAGTAGATGTAGCCAGACATGAAATGGTGGCCTCTACCAATCTGCTAGAGAGCAGCACAAGAAGGTGCAGCCTCTAGCATCACAGGGAAGTGAAAGGTAAATGAATAATACAGAAAGGAGTCTCCTCTTTCCTCTAAATTCAAAGGACACATGTTTTTTCAGGTAAAGGAGAAAAGCATGTGCATGATGCTGAAATATTTAATTTTCCCTTACACTAATGATACTCTAGGATTGTAACATTAGATCTTATCTAGTGATAAAATGGTCTTATAAAAATCCTATTTGTCTTCAAACTTCAAACTTCTCAAAGCATTTCATTAGTCACATCAAAATGAAAACTATACAACTATCATATAAGATGTATTATAATGTCTGCTTTTGAACACTCTGCCTTATAAATTGTTACCACAAATGTGAAAAAAGAATCTCTAGCTATCAACCTGTTAAAAATAATATAATGTCTATCTACCAAAAATAAATATCTATATCATAAGCATTAATATGCACACAGTCCCAAATGAGCTGCCTGAATTTAAATTCACTCGTGCGAACATCAATAGAGGAGAAATAAAGTAAGCGGCCTTTCCAGACTTTTGGGTGACCTATTTTCTCCTTATTGTAAAAGAATCACACCAAAGCCAAGGGTTGGGAATAAATCTAAAAGAAAAGTAACATACAGTAAGATTTCCAATAATCTATTTACTTTCAATTCTAACCTTTACTAGAGTACATAGGAAAAAATATTTTCTCCACTTGCCAATACGTTGCTTTGAAATACATAAGAAAAAGGAGAGGGTGGAACACACGCTTTTTTCCTTCTGTCACGAAAAAGGTGCCATATTGAACATAAGAACATTCTTGTTGATTATAAACTGACATTCTTTTAGTTCTTTTGGATGAAAACAAATGAAAATTTTAAAGGAAGCTGGTCATTCCAAATAATGCCAATAGATGATGTTGATTTCAAACTATGTAATCTAGTCAATAAATATAAGTAAAAATATAACTTCTAAAGAACAGTGGTGATTAATTTTTTAATATCTGGGACATTACATACCATATTCGGTTCTTCTGCTTCCTTGAAAATGCTGGTATGAATATATACGCCACTGAGGCAAAATTTCATTTTTCTAACTACCAAAGTAGCTTTTACTCTTTTACTTACCATAAGTCAAAAATCTGCAAGCAGATTCTAAAAGCTACACTCCATTTCTATCAAACGCAATCGAAGGAAGAGGTAGTTCTCCATAAAAACAGGTTCACATATTGTAGAATACAAAAATACTTGCTCTTCTCTTTCCATTAAATCTTACAAATATAAAAGTTCTTCTGAGTATTTCTTGGTTAACCATGAAAAGTACTGAGGCAAAATTCCAATAAAGGTCTAGAAAATCAAAGCTAAGGATTTTTCCTTTATATTACCACTTTATGCTTTGGCCATAATCCCTATTTGGTCTCTCTCTTTCTTTCTCTTTTTAAAGTGCGCCTTAATGGTTTCTGTCCACCAATAACTGTTGCTTATAACCTGAGCAAAAATTCTACAACATATACTTTGTTTCCACATTTTGAATGTAAAAGGAAAAAGGAAGGTGAATTTTTTTCTCTAGGAAAACCTAGAACTAAGTTTAAATATTGAGTTCCCTTTAAATACAACTATCATATTTAATAGCTATTTACCTGACAATCAAAAACACAACATCAAACTCTCCATTTCTATGGGTAATTACCAAATTGGACATTTTCTTTTAAATTACTCAAGAGCCAAGCTTCAAATTTTTTCAAACATAATAACGTTAAGCCTTCATGAATGCCAGTGTTCAAGGCACAACAAATCCAAAATGCAAACTCAGCCCTTTTGCTTCATAATTTTAACCACACATATGAAAAAGTCCCACACCTTCTGATTACATACAACTAGATCTAGTATTTTTTTATTAAAGTTTCAGAAATGATGAAAAACAGCTTTTCCCTCGGCATCCTCGGCATCCATTTAAGAGCCACCAAGGATAACAAATGGCATTCCATGTGTAAAGGTAATTAAACAAAGCTGCCTGTCTTTCTTCCCCTAGACATTGCCAACATCCTAAAAACAAAAGCAGCATAGGCAGAACACGACACTGCTGGGGTGAGGTGGGGTGGGAGTCTATTGAGAACGTCACCTCAAAGTGATGACGCAGAACTGACAGGGTGATATGTTGCCAAGACGGATAGTTCTTCGCCACATAGATGGTGCAATGTGAAGGCTTCTGAGGGAGCTGCTTGTCAGTCTTCTACAGGGCAGAAGAAAGAAAAAAAACATTTAATCACTTTCATATACACCAAAAATGAAAGAACCCTCTCCCAGTATATAGCACTACTGCCTTTAACTTAAAAAATATGCATACAATAGAACTGCATTAGAAATGAAAATAGCCCTACATTAGCAATGAAAATGGCCCTAAGGAAAGTTGTCTTTATTTTCATTACTATTAAATGTTATTTGACCAATAACTTTTAAGGAATGACATTAAAAAAAAAAAAAAAGACTTCACCTTTCCTTTAGCTGGTATCATATAGTTCTTGAGTCGCAATCTAAGGTCATGTGCTACTTCCATGAGATACTGTGAGGAGCGTATCAAGCTTTCATCCACAGGACCTGCCAGAGGCCATGAAGCATTCATAACTGAGTCGGGCTTTAAAAAAAAAAAGGTTCAGTGAGATTAGACAACACAACTATTTTATGATTCTTGGTTACAGTTTCATACCAAGACATGGTGTGTAACTGTGTGCTCAAAGTTCAAACCTGACTACACATAACACGCGTCCACAGACCCTGATCTAATGTTCCCTAGAATTCAAGCTGTGAAGTCTGACTCTACATTCTTAATTAGCATCCATTTGTACAAGCATATTGATACCCACACACATATGCTCACTTTCAAAGAAAATTATGTAATGCTAATTTGCCTAAATTTAATCTTTGTTATATAAATTATGCATACCCTCAGTTTTTATCCTACTAATACATCCAGTACTGAAAGTATGGCTATTTGGAATATATATCATGAGCACATTTTTGCATTGTTCACACATTGAAAAATACAAAAGAGCTTGGCTAATAATGCTGGAAAGGAGTTATTAAACCAGCCAATCTGTTTATCTGTAAGCCTGGGAGAAATAAATTTATCTTCACAGTAAGAATGCTAATATAAAATCCCTGAATATGCAGCCCTATATATGCCAGGAATTTTATATAAAACAAGAATATTTATGCAAGTATACACTTCTATCTTTGTTTATAAGCAGCTCATAACAGTTATTTACATCTTTCTCAGTATTTTCACCTTTCTAAACAAACAGTTGAGAAAACAGTATTAGTTATACGTGTATTCAAATACATTATAACATTTCCTAATAAGAATTAGGTGATAAACAACACGCACAAAGTCACATTATTAAAATATATACAATAAAAATAAATAAATTTTTTAAAAATTAAAAAAAAGGCGGGGGCCTCCCCGGTGGCACAGTGGTTAAGAATCCACCTGCCAATGCAGAGGACACAGGTTTGAGCCCTGGTCTGGGAAGACCCCACATGCCACAGAGCAACTAAGCCTGTGTGCCACAACTACTGAGCCTGTGCTCTAGAGCCTGCGAGCCACAACTACTAAGGCCACGTGCCACTACTGAAGCCCACGTGCCCAGAGCCCGTGCTCTGCAACGAGACAAGCCACCACAATGAGAAGCCCACACACCATAATGAAGGGTAGCCCCCACTCGCCGCAACTAGAGAAAGCCCATGCACAGCAACGAAGACCCAACACAGCCAAAAATAAATAAATAAAATAAATATATTTTTAAAAAATTTTTAATAAAATAAGATTAAATATATACACCGTGTGTGTATAAATTAAGGCATATATACCCGATGTAGCTTCAATTTAAGCTGCTGTAATAATTATGAGATAATGAACCCAATATTATTCTTGAAATACTCATTTTCAGTCTTTCTCTCTTAAGTCACATTATTATCCCAACATTTATTTAATGAGGCCCAAATCAAAACCACCCAGAACATCTTAAATGCATAAAGTTACCTTTCCCAGGAGTGTCCAGATGTGCTCACACAAATGAGGACAGAATGGAGCCAAAAGAAGTGTCTGAACTTCAATAAACCGGAACACGAGGTCTCGGTGCATCCCTTCTATGGCCAATTCACGGTACTTATCTTTCGCAGCCTACAAAATTTGGAGTTATTTACCATTTCTCTCCCCCACTTCTTTAAAATAAAATTATAGGGAAAAAAACTCAGTATCTCTATTTTAATGCATTTTTAAGTATTTAGTCTTTTAAAATTCCATAATAAACTTTAGTAAAGGTTTTACTTTATTTTTAACAACCTGAAAATAAATGTGTATCAATCCTTAGGTTAAAAACAATAAATTGTTTAAATTTATACATCTTTGATAATCTTTGCTATTAAGCATTTCTTTTTAAGCATTTCTTAGCCATTTAGGGTTCTTTGGGGGGCGTTGTTTGTTCATGTCCTTTGGTAATTGTTCTTTGGACCATTAGTATTTTTTTGATGGGCTTGTCAAAATCCTGAAATACAGACTGTAAATAATTTTCCAGTTAACTGTGTATTTTTAAGATGATTTCAGTTATGATTTTCTTATCTATGTTGGCAAATTCATCAGAACTTTTTTGATTATTCCTTTCTTTTGTTTTTATGATTAGGAAATCTTTTTTCAATTCTAAAATCAAATAAATGTTCACTGAGCCCTGTTTTTCAGAAAAAAAAAAAGTAAATCAACCCTAACAAAAGGATAATGCAGTTTTATACTGATTCTCAAGAAAATCTGAAAAAGAAATTTTGCAATGGACATAAAAGATGAACAATTTAAACTGTGTACTAAGGGTGAATGCTCAGTAGCTTGTATTAATAGCATCAAAAAGGCTGTAAATATGACACACTGCTATGCTCAGCACTTATCCTTATTTAATCACATCTCTGAAAACCAAGTTACATAAATCCCAATGTGATATTTTACAAAACTGACTGAGGAAAGCTACATTTTTACTTTAAGCACTTGAACTGCCAAACTTGAGGATATGCTGACACCTTGTGGAAAACCTCAGAAAATGTTTGCTTTCAAACTAATAGCAATTAGTTACAATTATGCCTTTGTTTTTTATCAACTTTAAAATGTTTTCCTGGAAAATGTGTCTAATTTTTAGATTTAACCTCTTTATTAACCCACAGCTCAACTAGGAATAGAATTACTTACATTAAAGAGACATAATACAAAAAGTACCCAAGAAAACTATTTAAAATCACAATGTATTGAATATTTTACAAATTTTCAGTCTCCACTTAAGATGAGTTATAATGCTACAGCAGGAGGGGAAAAAACAAGAAATACATCATATTGACACTGACGTATTTTATAGCTACGAAAAGAATAGCCTACCTGAAACTCAAAAAACCCTGTTTTCAAAGCTTCTTTAAACATCATCTTTTCATAGTTTTGATCTGTTTTTATAATGCCTGCATTCATTTCACTATTGAATAGGAAAAAAAAGGTAATTGAGTTTAAAGGCAAGTACATATATATAGGTATAAAAAACTTTCACACATACTAATAAACATTAAAATGAGAACAATGCATGAAACATTTAAGACTGCTCAACCACAAAACCATCTTTGTATTCCTCAAAACTGACCACTGCAGCCTCGCACTGTCTATCCACTCTTGAGTGTTGTCGTAACACTACTTAGGGCTCCTGTTTATGAAAACACAGTTAACCACATGCTTGTTTAAAAATTCCTTGATGGTCACCCTGATACCAAAACCAGACAAAGATACTACAAAAAAAGAAAATTACAGATTAATATCACTGATGAATATAGATGCAAAATTCCTCAACAAAATACTAGCAAACAGAATCCAAAAACACATTAAAAGGATCATACACTATGATCAAGTGGGATTTATCCCAGGGATGCAAGGATTCTTCAATATACGCAAATCAATCAATGTGATACACCATATTAACAAATTGAAGAAGAAAAACCATATGATCATCCTAATAGAGGCAGAAAAAGCTTTTGACAAAATTCAACACCCGTTTATGAGCAAAAAACTCCAGAAAGTGGCCATAGAGGGAACCTACCTCAACATAATAAAGGCCATATACGACAAACCCACAGCCAACATCATTCTCAATGGTGAAAAACTGAAAGCATTTCCTCTAAGATCAGGAACAAGAAGATAAGGATGTCCACTCTCACCACTGTTATTCAACATAGTTTTGGAAGTCCTAGCCACGGCAATCAGAGAAGAAAAAGAAATAAAAGGAATACAAATTGGAAAAGAAGAAGTAAAACTGTCATTGTTTGCAGATGACATGATACTACACATAGAGAATCCTAAAGATGCCACCAGAAAACTACTAGAGCTAATCAATGAATTTGGTAAAGTTGCAGGATACAAAATTAATACACAGAAATTTCTTGCATTCCTATACACTAATGATGAAAAATCTGAAAGAGAAATTAAGGAAACGCTCCCATTTACCATTGCAACAAAAAGAATACAAGACCTAGGAATAAACCTACCTAGGGAGACAAAAGACCTGTATGCAGAAAACTATAAGACACTGATGAAAGAAATTAAAGAGGATACCAACTGATGGAGAGATATACCATGTTCTTGAACTGGAAGAATCAATATTGTGAAAATGACTATACTAGCCAAAGCAATCTACAGATTCAATGCAATCCCTATCACATTACCAATGGCATTTTTTACAGAACTAAAACAAAAAATATTAAAATTTGTATGGAGACACAAAAGACCCCAAATAGTCAAAGCAGTCTTGAGAGAAATAAACGGAGCTGGAGGAATCAGACTCCCTGACTTCAGACTATACTACAAAGCTACAGTAATCAAGACAATACGGTACTGGCACAAAAACAGAAACACAGATCAATGGAACAAGATAAAAGCTCAGAGATAAACCCACACACCTATGGTCAACTAATCTATGACAAAGGAGGCAAGGATATACAATGGAGAAAAGACAGTCTCTTCAATAAGTGGTGTTGGGAAAACTGGACAGCTGCATGTAAAAGAATGAAATTAGAACACTCCCTAACAACACACACAAAAATAAACTCAAAATGTGTTAGAGACCTAAATGTAAGACTGGACACTACAAAACTCTTAGAGGAAAACATAGGCAGAACACTCTTTCACATAAATCACAGCAAGATCTTTTCTGATCCACCTCCTAGAGTAATGGAAATAAAAACAAAAATAAACAAATGGGAGCTAATGAAACGTTAAAGCTTTTGTACAACAAAGCAAACCATAAACAAGACGAAAAAACAACCCTCAGGATGGGAGAAAATATTTGCAAACAAATCAACGGACAAAGGATTAATCTCCGAAATATATAAAGAGCTCATACAGCTCAATATTAAAAAAACAAACAACCCAATCCAAAAATGAGCAGAAGAGCTAAATAGACATATCTCCAAAGAAGACATACAGATGGCCAAGAAGCACACGAAAAGCTGCTCAACATCACTAATGATTAGAGAAAGGCAAATCAAAAGTACAATGAGGTATCACCTCACACCAGTTAGAATGGGCATCATCAGAATATCTACAAACAACAAATGCTGGAGAGGGTGTGGAGAAAAGGGAACCCTCTTGCACTGTTGGTGGGAATGTAAATTGATACAGCCACTACAGAGAACAGTATGGAGGTTCCTTAAAAAACTAAAAATAGAATTAGCATATGATCCAGCAATCCCACTACTGGGCATATACCCAAAGAAAACCATAATTCAAAAACACACATGCACCCCAATATGTATTGCAGCACTATTTACAATAGCCAGGTCATGGAAGCAACCTAAATGCCCATCGACAGATGAATGGATAAAGAAGTTGTGGTACATATATACAATGCCTTATTACTCAGCCATAAAAAGGAACGAAATTGGGTCATTTGTTGAGACGTGAATGGATCTAGAGACTGTCATACAGAGTGAAGTTAAGTCAGAAAGAGAAAAATAAATATCGTATATTAACACATATATGTGGAGCCTAGAAAAATGGTACAGATGAGCCAGTTTGCAGGGCAGAAGTTGAGACACAGATGTAGAGAACAAATGTATGGACACCAAGGAGGAAAGTGGCGGGGATAGGGTGGTGGTGTGCTGACCTCGGAGATTGGGATTGACATGTATACACTGATGTGTATAAAATTGATGACTATTAAGAACCTGCTGTATAAAAAAATAAATAAAATAAAATTCAAAAATTAAAAAAACAAACAAAAAAATTCCTTGATGGAAACTTTATTAAGAAGCCCAAAATGCAACATGAAAATAGCTTTATTAAGGCTGTAGTCAGGTTTAATTGTTGCATTTTAAACAACTGACATTGGATTAAAAATATATTCCTTACACTACCCTCAGGCTCTTCATAATTTGGCCTAATATGGCCCCAACTTGTTTGATCTCCTACTTCTGCCCTCCACATACTGTACACTTCAAATAAATACCATACTCTTTCCATGGCTTTCTCCTCTCCTTCAAAAATTAGGTTTACTTTTCAAGAAACCCAGAACTCACATGCCATCTCCTCTAATTTCCCTCTATCCCTACTATTGCACTTATAATTGGTTGGGTAAGTGTTTTTCTCTCCTGCTAGACTACAATGAAGGATCAAGTCTTATTCATCTTTGTAATACCAGTGCTTCGGATGTTTCTGATACAAAAAGACTGATAAATGTTTTTTGAAGGAAAAAAGAAAAGACAATTCTTTCCCTTTAACCTACTTTTCCTTTAACCATTCCACCCTCCTCTAATGCAAGACAGCATGGTAAAATGGTCATGAGAATGGGCTTTGGAGACAGAAACAAATTCATATCCCAAGTCTGAAATTACCAGCTTTGAGACATTTAATGAAATACTTAATTTTTCTAAGCTTCAATTTTTTTAACTATAAAATAGAGCTAATAATATCTTTATCATATAAAATTGCTAGAAGGCTAAAATCAGATAATGGATGCAAAGTAATTAGCATAGTACCTGGCACAAGTAAGCTTTCAGTGAATAGTAGTTATTATTAACATCTAATTTATTTAATAAGGAAAAAAAAGAAAACTTAAAAATACAGCAGGACTAAGCAACTCTAAAGTACAAAGTGGTTGGGGTCCATAGATTACCTGGCGAAAACTCTATCATTGAAGGTGTTGGCAGGACCACTTCTTAGGCTATCCCAGTTGGCAACCATTTCTTTCACCCATTCCACCCAGGTGTACAGACGGAGAATACCTGCATCTGCCATGGTTTCCACAAAGTTAGCATCTTCAACAGTGTCACCAGCATCAGCCAGAGCCAAGCGCATTCCTGGAAGAAGAAAAAAAAAATCAATCGATGATTTAAAAATGAGGTTACTGCATATCAACTACGTATCCAGTTGAGTACACTGCCAAGCCTACATATAAATTAAGAAATAACAAACGCTTTAAAGGACTGCATATATCAACAGCAAAAATAAAGATCACCAAAAGTAGAATCCATAATGATGTTGCTAAAATATTTGAATTTTCTGTATTGATTTGCATACACTTAGCATCAATATGTGTTTCTTCTCAGGCATGTTGAGTTAATGAGATAAAGTGATCTTTAATGAGGCAGAGGGAAAAAATGCTAAACTGGGGAAAGATATCCCTATCAACATCTCAGCCTCATTTATAGGTAGCAAAATATTATTGTATTTTAATGCAATAAGAACACACAGAAGTGGGCTCCCCTGGTGGCGCAGTGGTTGAGAGTCCACCTGCCGATGCAGGGGACACAGGTTCGTGCCCCGGACCAGGAAGATCCCACATGCCGCGGAGCGGCTGGGCCCGTGAGCCATGGCTTGCTGAGCCTGCGCATCCGGAGCCTGTGCTCCGCAACGGGAGAGGCCACAACAGTGAGAGGCCTGCGTACCACAAAAAAAAAAGAACACACAGAAGTGCCTTATGTGCACAAATACAGATTTTCTTAGTCCTAAAAGCAGATTCTTCCAACTTTCCTACTAACGAAGTACGACTTTTCAACCAAAATCTTCCATTCTAAAATATTGAAAAAATCATCAATAAGAGTCTAAGTAAATTACAGGACATCCTTGCAATGGAAGACTATATTGCTGTAAAAGAGTGAGGTAACTCTTGTGTATCAACATGAAGTGATCTCAAATACGAACTAAGTGAAGAAGGCAAATTTCAAAACAGTATGTAGGGTATATGCTACCATCTGCGCCTTAAAGGAGGAGATGAGAATATGTAACATCAAGTTATGTATGCATTAAACATCTTTTACAATACACAAGAAGCTGAACACATTTTTTTAACTTTTTATATTGAAGTAATTTTACAGTTACAGAAAAGATGCCAAAGATGAGAATAAACATATACCATCTACCAGACTCTCTTAATGTTAACAGCTTACATAACCACAGTTTCAAAAGCAGGAAGTTAACATTAGTATGATACTATTAACTGAACTACAGAGTTTATTCAAATTTCACCAGTGCTTCCTCTAATATCCTTCTCTGTTCTAGGATCCAATCCAGAATCCCACCTTGCATTTGACTGTTGTATCTCCTTGGTCTCTTCAAATCTGTGACAGTTTCTCAGTCTGTCCTGGACCTTGACTTCTGATGAACAGTAGTCAGGTATTTAATAGAATTTCTCCCAACTTGGGTTTGTCTGATGTTTTCTCATGATTAAACTGATGTTATGAACCTCTGGCAGGAATATCACAAAAGTGATGCTGTGTGCCTTTCTCAGTGCATCATTATCAGGGAGGTAGGTAATGAGGAAAAAAAAGAAAACTTAAAAATACACCAGGACTAAGCAACTCTAAAGTACAAACCTAAGCAACTCTAAAGTGCAAACCTTCCTCACTTGGTCAGGTAGACTGTCTGCCAAGTTTCTCCACTGTAAAGTTACTGTTTTTCCCTTTGTGATTAAGAAATATCTTGGGAGAGATACTCTGAGAATATGCAAATAATCTTTTTTTTTTTTTAAACTTTCACCCATTTATTTTGGCAACCACTGATGGATCTTGTCTGTGACAATATTACTATGATGTTTGTCTAATGGTGATTTTATATTTCACTCAGTCCTTCTACTTTATTACTTGGAATTCTTCTGAAAGGAAGAACAGTCCCTACTCCACTTATTTATTTATTCAATTATTACTATACATTCATATGGATTCATAAATATTTAATTTATTCACTGGATTATAATTCAATACTATCATTATTTACTTTGTTTCCTAAACTGCTCTAGCGTGGACAATTGGGAGCCCCGTCAGGTTGACTCCTGTGCCCTTTCAAACTGTCCCCATCCTTTTTTAAACATTTCCTTACTTTCTGGCATCATAAAATGTTCCATGCTCATCTTGTATGTTCCCTACTCCAGCCCTCAAATCAACCCTTCTCCTAGGAACCCTAGTTCCTTTTATTGGAGAATGGTATTTGGAAACCAAGATCTCAATGCCAGGTGTTTCATTACCCATGGGCTCTCTCAGCAGAAAGAACTAGGAAAATAAATGCATGTATACTAACCCACACATTAATCTATGTTTATTTTTATATCTGTATGTAAAATAAAACCTGTGAGTTCATATTGATGTTGCCAATTCCAATCCAACACCACAGGGTTCATTCTAGCATTTCCTCTTGACCTATTTATAGCTTCTGACAATGAGCTCTCATCTATAATATATTTATTTGTTAAATCCCAGTAAACCCATAAAAGTTTCAGAATTGCTAATCTACACCTCTTTAAAAGAAAATAACTACAGTATTTGTGCACAGTTCTTTTTGCCTTACTGTGTTCAGTCAAAATACTGTTTTTCTAAGTAACTTAGGTTAGTTCTTCCCCAACCCCTTCAGTGCACTCTCAAACTATAGTAGCCATGATCAGCAAATGATCAGCCATGATGACCAAAGACTGGATTACATAAGAAATGACTGGTTCTTTCAGGTTAGACAGTGCATTTCTTCTCTTGACAAAGTAACAGTTAAATGGAATAGTAATGAGGCCAGAGAAAACATATTTTTTGAAGAAATAATGCTCCTAGGTTCAAGTCACTTATATGTATACCAAATATGGAGGAAATACTTTGAAAAAGGTTCCTACATACTTAACATCTCTACAAACCAACTATTTTTTTTCTTTAAGATTTTTTTTTTTTTGATGTGGACCATTTTTAAAGTCTTTATTGAATTTGTTACAACGTTGCTTCTCTTCTATGTTTTGGTTTTTTGGCCGCAAGGCATGTGGGATCTTAGCTCCCCGACCAGGGATCGAACCTGCACCCCCTGCATTGGAAGGCGAAGTCCTAACCACTGGACCTCCAGGGAAGTCCCCCTACAAACCAACTCTTTAATCTTAGAAGTAGCATGAAATTAGGAACAAACCAGGTAGCACTTACAGTGAGTTTCCTTTGAAAGAAGACTAATAATCTTAGCTTAAATCTGTTCCTAAACAGATCAGATCAGCAATTCTTATGTTTTAAAAATTACGTTCCTGTACACAAAGAAAACATGAATATTTTAAAGTACCGGTAAAAGCGAAAGAGAAAAGCAATGAAACTGAAACAACAATGCTAACTTGCCTTCTGTAATATGAGGAGAACTGGACACTATGCAACAGCAATAACAAAAAAGCATACTCACCATCGGCTGAATATTTGTCAAGAGCTTGGGTCAAAGTGAGGAAGTTGCCTGTGGATTTTGACATCTGAAAGAGAAAGTCAATGATCAGGCATTAGTAAGAGTGTATATAAATAAAATAAACCAAATCAGCCACATCAAATTAAATAGGTTGGCCACAATCAGATAAAAACCAAAAGGATCAGAAGCATGGAAAGGAAAAGATACCTTATACTAACTTTATAGAGGAGAAAACTGAAGTGACTTGTCTGAGTCACTAATCTAGTCAGTGACAAAGCTAGGACAGCATCTCCAGTCTGATACTCAGTCCACGGCTCTTTCCATTAACCAATACTGTCCCTTGGGAATTGGTTTACACACATGGATGATTCCACTATAACTCTGGAATACTTCAGCTGGTCATAAAGAAGAGCTTTAGGGCTTCCCTGGTGGCGCAGTGGTTAAGAATCCACCTGCCAATGCAGGGGACATAGGTTCGAGCCCTGGTCCAGGAAGATCCCACATGCCGCGGAGCAACTAAGCCCGTGCGCCACAACTACGGAGCCCGTGCGCCTAGAGCCCGTGCTCTGCAATAAGAGAAGCCACCGCAATGAGAAGCTTGCGCCTCAACCAAGAGTTGCTGCAACTAGAGAAAGCCCCACGTGCTACAACTAGAGAAAGCCTGCGCACAGCAACGAAGACCAAACGCAGCCAAAATAAATAAATGAAAGAAAAATTTAAAAAAAACACAGAAGAGCTTTATAGCAATTAGAGTCATTCAGAAATGAATGGACAAGCTCATGAGGTCAAAATTAGGGTTTTAGGGAACCTCCTGTCATTAGGGTCACAACTGGCTACTCAAGTTGTGCTCTGCCTGAAGGCAGCACAACTAAGGAGGAACTGTGCCCAGCCTAGCAATCTTTACTATTTAAAAAATGTTTATGTTTTTGTAACTTTGCTGATACCAAAGAGAGGTGGTCATTCTATCAATTTTCTATTATATGGCAGTAAAATATTTTGTTCTAATAAAATGAGTATAATGTACATATAGCACAACAATGTGGAGACCAAAGGAAATGTCATGTTATAACAGGATTCCTATTTATATACTCACATATACATACACCCATATATACACATACATATATATAAATACATATATGGTTCACTTTGTCCTACAAAGAACAAATGAGTTTGATAATCAAAAGTCCTTGTTGGGGCTTCCCTGGTGGCGCAGTGGTTGGGAGTCTGCCTGCTGATGCAGGGGACACAGGTTCGTGCCCCGGCCCGGGAAGATCCCACATGCCGCGGAGCGGCTGGGTCTGTGAGCCATGGCCGCTGAGCCTGCACGTCCGGAGCCTGTGCTCCGCAACGGGAGAGGCCACAACAGTGAGAGGCCCGAAGTCCTTGTTGATTTAACAAAATCTATAAAATAGCTATTTTTCAGCCTAATGTACAGGTTACCCTACATGAACTTTTTTATTCCCTTTCAATATTAGGACACTGGTAAAAAATAACATCTCATTTTGCAATTCATATCATCTGCTATGTTTAAATCTATAACTATTTTCATTATGACATACCTATAGCAATGAATATTCTTTTACCATTAATATTCCATCAGATGTAGCAAGATTCACTGGTTGGAACAAATCCAACTTATTACAACTGTTATTAATGAGAAATAAATAATATTGTAACTTAATTTTTTTTGTTTAGTTGAGGAAGGGTGCCCCTTTCTAATGTACACAAAAGCATCATGGGGCAAACAAGGGCTTGTCAAGAGGTTGGCATAATTCCTGGTGAGGATATTGAATAATTAGGTGAAGTCTTATGTAGCATAAAAAAAATCATATATTGAATATATTAGTAGTGGTAATGAAAAAGGGAAGTTGCAGTAGTATGGGGAGAGAGATACCATTTGGAAAGAAGCATTAAATGACATTTTAAAATCCTATAAACTCCAAAATTCTATTATTCTAATTTAGTGGCCAGTCACAGTATAAAGCAAAAACCACCAAATTATTTTCTCAACTTAATGAGAAAGATATTGTTGGGTCACAATGCTAGATCTTTACATTTCCTGTCCCTTTCTCTCTCTCCTCCCGTAAAAATTTGTGTCACCCTTTGCCACTCTAATACAAATGTTATAATAGGGAAGTTTTCCCCATCCCACCTCTGAATTAATACTATCTACTCCACTCACTCAATTTTAAAATAAACTTCTCATTTACGCTGGTAGTCCTAAACATTTTAAATGGAAGATATTTAACTCTCTGATTTTCACATTCTTTATTTCTTTAAAAAGTACAACATCCTAAATCTGAAAAACTTTTCTGTAGCATTTTAACCTTTCAAGAGGCAATGAGCCTTACCTTCTCAGAGTTGAGGAGGAGATGTCCATTTGCTCTCACAGCTACAGGCCATTTATCACTTGACAGGAAAATGTTTAAAGATAGAAAATAAAACTTAAAGATTATGGTTTAGGCTTAAAAATTTGAGGTAAATGCTAAAAGATTCATAAAAGATTGCTAAGGCAAATGTGCAGGGATATTAATTGAGTCCTGTTCATAACAGGAAACCAATGAAAACAAGGAAAGTATCCATTAGTAAAGGACTGGTTATATTGATATAAACTATGGTACAGGAATACAATGAAATACTATGTTAACTATTTTTAAAATACAGGCACAGCTATATATATATAAATAAAAAGATCTTAGAATTATACTATTACAAGGAAAAAACAAGAGACAGAATACTGTCTATAATGTGGCATCTTTGTATAAATTAAAAATAAACAAGTATAGATATCTGCTGCTGGTATATGCATACACACATTTTCCAGAAGAAGTCACAAGAAAGCAGTAGCAGTGATGAGCTTTGGGAAATAGACTAATACAGGGAAAAGGGTGAAAGTTCACTTTTAACTTTGTACCTTTATGAGCTGTTTGAATTTTCAAACTATGTACATATCATTCATTCATTCTAACAATGAGATCATGTAGAGGGTAATGTTAAGAGCAAGAGTTCTGGAGCCAGACTGCTGGGTTCTGCATCCTGGTTCTGCCATTGCTGGGTAACTCTGGGTAAGTCATTTTGAGCTCTCTATGCCTCACGAAGGTTCCTTGTCCGTAAAAACAAGGATATTACAGACCTTCCTCGAAAAGTTGTAGTGAAAATTACACAAGTTACTAAAAGTGATTAGAAGAGTGTCTGACAAAAGCACTTGAAGCTACTACTTATCTTTAATTTTTAAAACCCTAATACATGTCCAAAACTTGATGCAAGGGGATAAATATTCAACTATATTACTAACAAGTACTTCTGAGACACCTGGTATCTCCAAAAATACATTTTAACCAACAGAGAAAAATAACTGGATGACAAGAACCACATCATATTTATTTTATTCCTCTTCTTCAAAATCTCCCTTTTATTCTTGAGAAAGAAAATGTAATCTCATTCTAAATGCAATCTCATCCTAAATACAAAAAGTCCCATGAGATTGCTTTGGTTTTACAAAATAAAATTTGAACAGTGGAAGGGGTTTGTTTCTTCAGCTACTTGAGGACAGGAGGAAAAGGCACAGAGACATGTCTGGATCAAGAGGGAAGATGATAGAAGGATTACTCTTGAGCACATGGTATTAACAAATGCATCTTTGACCCAGATTCTAGTCAGAACATCACTACTTAATGCTGGAACCTTGGGGCTCTCAGCTCTAAAGGGATGTTTCCTTCCCATTCTAATGTCCTAGGCTCTGTCTGAAATCGCCTTTATTCCAGCATCTAACAGGTCAAATGAGTCATGTAACAGGTCAAGGGAATTACTGACAGAGTACCTGAAATGTGACATGCTTTGGTGGCCCAAGGTAGGTACGAAGATTTCTGGATATAACAGATAGGAGGAGGTGTGCTTTCTCCTTCAGTACATTTAATATAAGAAAAAGAATGTAACTGTTAAATCTAACTATACCCCCCCACAATAACATCTATATATTTGAAGCCACAAGGCACCCTTGTCAATAATCAATAAATTTAGTCTGCATCTTTTTTGGCACTCACCTTTCTTCTGGCCACATAGCCACATGATTATAAAGGAAATATGAAAGATGATTTGGAATAAGATCCTTGCCAGAGGCTCGAAGATCCACAGGATACCAGAACTCAAATTCCTGCTTTAACTGATCTAATTTTTCCTTTGGGATCTGAGTTTTAGGAAATGGAGCCTCCTTGAAGAAAACATAATCCCAAACTTCCTTGGTCATCTGCTGTGGTCTGTATTAAAATAAAAGAAACAAACAAACAACAACAACTATATGTATGTGTATATATATATATATATATATATGTGTGTGTGTATATATATATATATATATATATATACACATAATTTCTTTGAAAAAATCAGCATTCTAATCCAACCATGAAGTAGGAAACACTTTCTTAATGTTTTACAGTAACAAATGAGGTCAACAGACTCCCGTAAGAATGAAGAATGGATAATAGAGAAGGGGCTATTTACTACTTTCTTTCTCAGTTCAATGCAAAAAAAGCAAAAACATCATGACAAAATTCCACTAAATGAATTCTTATAAAAACTAATTATTAGAAAGAATTTTCTGGCTTCCCTGGTGGCGCAGTGGTTAAGAGCCTGCCTGCCAAAGCAGGGGACACGGGTTTGAGCCCTGGTCCAGGAAGATCCCACGTGCCACAGAACAACTAAGCCCGTGAGCCACAACTAATGAACCTGTGCTCTAGAGCCCGTGAGCCACAACTACTGAAGCCCGTGCGCCTAGAGCCCATGCTCCCCAACAAGAGAAGCCACCGCAATGAGAAGCCTGCGCAATGCAATGAAGAGCAGCTCCCGCTCACCACAACTAGAGAAAGCCCAAGTGCAGCAACAAAGACCCAACACAGCCAAAAATAAATAAAAATAAAATATATTTTAAAAAAAAAAAGAAAGAATTTTCAATACATAAATCAAAAGATCACCTCATGCTAACAAATTACATTCCTTCCCCTTATCCATTTACCAACCTGATGCCCAGTGGAGACTCTGTCTGTCCACGCAAGTTACCTCCCTGCAACAGATGTGCAACTGTGTAAAATGCCATGTAAATAGTGGAGTCAGAGAGTGATTCAATCAGCCACTGCTCATCCCACGGCAGACGAGTACCTGTGAGATAAAAAGAAGATAATTAATGCATGAGGAACCTAAGAGACACTTCATCTACAAAATTCACATTTTTAAGAGCAGGTCTATAGCACTGACAAAGCTACTTATTTAGGTTCTTAAATTTACTTGAATAATTAATATAAATAAACCAGTAAATAAAAAAAACAAAATGGTTGAAGCACTAGAAACTTTCTATTAAAAAGAAACTGCATCATAAAACCTATATGGGGGCTTCCTTGGTGGCGCAGTGGTTGAGAGTCCGCCTGCCGATACAGGGGACGCGGGTTCGTGCCCCGGTCCGGGAAGATCCCACATGCCGCGGAGCGGCTGGGCCCGTGAGCCATGGCCGCTGAGCCTGCGCGTCCGGAGCCTATGCTCCGCAACGGGAGAGGCCACAACAGTGAGAGGCCCGCGTACCGCAAAAAAAAAAAAAAAAAAAAAAAGCTATATGGGCATTAGATACTTCTACCACCAGGTAGATGGTAAGGGACCACATCCTAGTTTCCTTCACCCTCTAACCAAAACCTCTCACTTCCAATTCAGAAACACACTGGAAGAGAAGAAAAAAAGGTGAAGTTTTAATTTGCTGTGTAACTGGCAAAGTCATTCAAACAGAAAATTTTGAAGTTTGCTTACCTAAGCCGTAAGTTCTTGAGCAAGCATGCTCTTGCAGCCAATCTAAGGTAGCTTCAAAATTCCTCCTGGTCTCCTCACAGAACCTGGAGAGAGTAGAAGATAAAGTATCTCTCTCCAGCTTCATTGTCTTCCCTGTTTCTCATCTCCTTCCCTATCACTTTCTCCCATCTTACGTTTCCAGGTTCTTCAAGCACTGGGATGTCTGTTTTTTCCAGTTCTCTTCTCCATAATCCAAGTACCTGGGGGTGGACGAATTGATTAAAAAAAAAAAGTCAAGGATAAGCAAAGTGACAGAAGGAAATTTCTTCTTGCTATAAGAAAAACTAACCACTGGTCACACAGGGCCACGACGCATTCATCTGAAGACCTGGACATAACTTGTTTCTCTGGTTCCATGTAAATATATGCATCTCCCTAAACGGAAGTAAATAAAAATATATCAGATATTATGTCAAGGCAATCTCTATTCCTCAAGGAAAAGAAAAGTAACATTTTAGAAAAAAAAATGCTCTACCACCCATAACCAAAACCCCAGGTTTTCATTATGTCTTCCCTCTTCCCAGGGTAGAAGTTATCTGCTTTTCTTTCTGCATAACACTTGCTTCTGAAAAGGCGTGCACCTTCATCAAATGGATCACCACCTTCTCTAGGTACAGCTTATTCCTTTTCAGAGTGAAAGATGTTTAACAGTTTCTAATGCTATGGTTTGAAGGTTAGGCTGCCTAGGGCAGCCTTTTATTCTTGTTATAATAAAAATATAAAGAGGAGGATATGGGGAGGGGGAAGGGTGAGCTGTGACAAAGCGAGAGAGAGGCATGGACATATATACACTACCAAACGTAAGGTAGATAGCTAGTGGGAAGCAGCCGCGTAGCACAGGGAGGTCAGCTCCGTACTTTGTGACCGCCTGGAGGGGAGGGATATGGGGGGGGGAGGGATAGGGAGGGTGGGAGGGATGGAGATGCAAGAGATATGGGAACATATGTATATGTATAACTGATTCACTTTGTTATAAAGCAGAAACTAACACACCATTATAAAGCAATTACACCCCAATAAAGATGTTTATACATATATATATATAAAGAAAATAGATGCACAGAACCACTGCCTTTAAAAAAAAAGAGATGCACAAAAATTAAACACAGAAAATACTTTTACTAAAGATTTATAGCATCATGAAAAATTCCCACTAGACAACTGACCATAAATTTTACTTTTAGAAAAAAATACAAATATCTTTTAATGTATTATAATCCCAAACTTATTAGGCTAGGATAATTTTTAAAAATAAAATTCAGCATTATTATTCAAAAAATGATTCATTGCTCTGTGTTCTTAATGCAAGTTCTTCACACTGAACTTAAATAGGTAGGACTTTGGTTTAAAGATGGTAAATTAAAAACAGACACTTAATTAACTCTGCTCCCTCTCAAAATTCTAACAAAATAACAACAAAGAGGCTTTTTTTGTCTTAATGGTATGAAGCTACAAAGACAACAAGAATGGGAGAAGAAATAACATCAACCAAATTTTGGAAACTAAAAAGTAAAATGAGTGACAATTGTATTAGCAGATCAAAGGAAGCTAGCTGAATCCTAAGCCCACAGAAGAGAAGGCTGAAAAGCAATTCAGTTTGCATTACAGACCCTCCAAAAAGACTCAGGATTTGTGGCACAAGATAGTTCTGGAAGAGGAGGTAACGTGAGACTGGAAACAGGGGGACTAACTGAAGTCTTTTCAAGAAGTTAGAACCCCAGACACCCTAATCCCACACCATGCAGACAGACAACTGCCCCTTCCTATGCCAGCAGAACAGTGAAGGTTTACTCTCTGGAGAGGACAAAAGAGAGTCAACCAGAGGATGAAGTTGAGGGTATGGGTATCATAGTGAAAAAGAGGGATTAAGTGAAAGTCAGCACATTGGGTGTTGGAACCCAACCTAGTAATCTTCCACCATTTAGCTCCCAAAATGCTCAGTTAGTTTAGACCGTTTAAACCGGAAACTGAAGAATCTTCTGAGGGGAATCTAACAAACCAAGAAGCCCTAATTAACATCAAGGCTAACATCAGGTCTCCCTAAGGTCCAAATGGACCTTCCAGCTCTCTCCCAGCGAAGCCCAGAGACAAGCCCTACCCATATCCAAAAAGGTTCCAATCATCTTTTTGTACCCACTCTTAAATATCAATAGTCTTCCTCAGATTAATAAGAGATTAAAGTTTCATACCCCTGAAACAAGAATAGCGGCATCCTATAAAAAAAGGATCAGATAACAATAAGCTCTTAAACTGGCTCTGAGTTGGTAAATGCTGAAGCTGGGTAAGAGGTACATAAGAATTCATTATACTACTCCATTTTTTCATAAATTTGAAATTTTCCACACAAAGAAAAAAATTTTAATGAATTCTTAGAAACATTTATTTATACACACACACACAAGCACACAAGTAGCAGATATAAAAAACACAGAAGGGCTTCCCTGGTGGCGCAGTGGTTGAGACTCCGCCTGTCGATGCAGGGGATACGGGTTTGTGCCCCAGTCCAGGAAGATCCCACATGCCGCGGAGCGGCTGGGCCCGTGAGCCATGGCCGCTGAGCCTGCGCGTCCGGAGCCTGTGCTCCACAATGGGAGAGGCTACAACAGTGAGAGGCCCGCGTACCGCAAAAAAAAAAAAAAAAACAGTAAACAAACGAACAAAAACTCACAGGAAGAAAAAGGTGAGGGACTCCCCCAGATAGAAGAGCAAAAGAACTTTCAGAGTCTAAGAGATCCAATATCTGAATAATAAGAATTCAGAGAGCAAAAATAAAGAATGGAAAGGGATAAAATAATTAAACAAAAAAGTCAAGAAATTTTCCCAAAATTGGAGAACATAAGTTTCCAGATTGAAGGAGCCCAGCATACAGCCAGAAGAATGAATGAAAACTGACCTACACCAAAATAAATCTTCATGAAATTTCAAAATACTGGAAGAAAAGAGAAGATTCTATAAGCTTTGGCATGGTGGGGGGCAGTGCAGGGAACAGTGGAGACACAGGTCACTTATAAAAGATCCATTATTACCAGAATGGTTTGGGACTTCTCAACAGCATCACTGAACCAGAACACCATGGGTAATGGCCTTCAAATTTTTAAGGGAAAATTATTTCCAACCCAGAATCCTACACCCAGGCATTCAAGTATGAGGACAGAATAAAGATACTTCAGACATGGAAGGTCGCAAAAATTTACCTTCCAGGCACTGTTTTTCAGGAACACTACTAGAGGCAGAGCATCACCAAAACAAGAAAGTAAATAAGAAAGAAGAAGCCATGGGAGCAAGGAAACAGCAGATCCAACTCAAGAGAAGCAAAGGAAATCCTAAGTAATGGTGGAGGAACATCCCAGATGACATCTGAGCACACCTACAGTAAGCAAACGGTGTGGATAATTACAACAGGCCAGAAGGCTCTAGGAGAACTTTCTCTAAGATGTAAACAACAGCATACTCATGTGTTTGAAGGTACTGAGAGGAGAAATAAACAGTTGGGACAGAGTTTGGGGATGAAGTATTGATAACTGTATTTAAAAGTAAGAAAAGTGGGGGGGGGAAAAGGGCAGTTATTAACTCTAGGGAAAACCAAAAGCTAGGGAAGAGAAGTTCTCATTGTATACTACATTATGGATCAGCCATGTCTCAAAAACGTACACACTGACTACTGCTCTAACATAAATTATAACATACCTATACTAGCAAGATGGTGGGTGGAGAAGTGTATACAAATGCGAGGTTAGAGAGGAAGCCACAGGTTGGAGAAGAGTTAAATCTTGATCTTCCACAGTAGGAAGTCTATGGCTGATGGCTAAAATTGAAAAATTTTTAAATTACACTACAAGTATTTAGATTAGAGATCTATAAGAGAGGCAGAGGTCAATACTAACAGAAATAACTAAAAGAGATGCAAGTAAGCCTGTCCAAGGAAGAGAAATTTAAGAGAATGTGGAAGGATGGAGAGGAAATTGCTTTTTTTATTTTAATAAGACTTACAGATCATTGTCTCTCTGTATTATGGGTATACACAACTGTCAAAAATAAAAATTCAATTTCAAAAGTTAAGTAACTCAACAGAAAAAAGTTACAACAAAAATGAAGAGGGGAAAAAGGATTAAAGTATAAAGTACTACATAAAGAACTGTCAACTACCAGTACCTCGAATGGTTACTGCCAGGAAGCATCACTAAAATTCTCTGTGCGTGATTTGTACATGCCAACTTTAGAACACTATCTTCATCAACATTACAGGTGGGATGTTCAAGTTAAATGAATTGCTAAATAGGTCTCCAGTTTTATATATAAATAAAATTATACCTTTAATATAGCTCCAGGTTCTACTACAGAACTCACTGCTAAGTAACACTGTAAAGTCTATTAACTGAAAGCTCTTCTCCTAAAACAGCCTTCAGAGGATAGCCTATTACATACAGTGTCAATCATCTTGTTTTTAATAGTCTTCTTTACATCTTGGACCTTCTGTCCCTTAAATCCATCCACCAACATTACCTAAAAGGATGAGAAGTAGGGAAAAAGCACATACAATTAAAATTTGCTTTGGGTGCCCCCCCTAGAACTTTCCCTAACTAAATTTACTTGCACACACAACCAAAATATTTTTAGTGTGAAATTTATCACATTTAGAACCATAAATTTTTATTTTGGCACAGCTTGGACAGCTAATATTTACAACACACTTGTTTTTCTTTCAGTATAACTAGGATAAGTATTATGAACATGATTAGAAAGAAATGCTCACTTCCTTCCCACTTCTCAGGTTTCCATGTGAAGAGAATTCCTCTACCCTAACTCACATCATTCCTGAAGGCTTTAGGAGAAGGAACTGAGCAAATGCAGCTCGGCCCCACTTAGGCTTCTCTTTACAACTCGGCCTGTTGCCAGCAAGCATTCTCCTTTGCTTGCCCATGTGATAAACTTGGCTCTTAGAGGAAGGCCTACTGTTTTTCAGCTCTGCCTTTTACGTAGCAGGGAGACTTAATTCTAGGGCAAAGTAATGACTTGCCCATTGCTGTCACAGAGCAAAGCCACAATCCCCTTCCAGCTGATACTCTGACTTCCATCTATCTGACTCCTGTTGACTCTCTCAAATAGTTTTTTTTTTTTTTTTTTTTTTTTTTTTTTTTTGCCACACTGCACGGCATATGGGATTGGGATTTTAGTTCCCTGACCAGGGATTGAAATTGGGCCCTCAGCAATGAGTGCAGAGTCCTAACCACTGGACCACCAGGGCATTCTTAATAGTTTCTATCTTAAGTGGAAAAGACACATGTTCTTTTTTCTGCCCCAGTTCTCTAACGTACCAAGATGCTTCATATCTACTTAATTCATCATTATGAAATTATAGTTATAGATCATTATGGCACAGGGGCTAAAAGCACAAATCTTAGAGCCAAGATGCCTAGTTTGAGTCCCAGTTCTGCCTCTGCCTGGCTGTCTGGCTGATCTTAGGTTAAATTACTTAATCTCTTAGTGCCTCAATTTCCTCACCTATAAATTGGGAATAAGTGGCACTTCACAAGGTTATTTTGAGATGTAAGTAAGTTAATATATAAATGCTCTATAAGTGTTGGCTTTTACTGTCATCCAAAACGTGTAAGTTACTTTTAAAAAGGACATACAACCAATTCTTGGTTATCCAGAGAAATGAAAGTAAAGGTAAAAATAAAGAACATTCTCACTTACAGCCTTAAAAATCTTCATTTCAACCTCAAGTCACTAGCAACTTGATTGAGTTTTTACTTTCTCTAGCCTCATCTTCTTTCCATGGAAATGTAAGCCATGTTAACATATGCACAATTGAGGAGAAAAGAGAGGTTCACAACTTGTCTGTTGTGCTAACATGGCATGGAATAGGCATTAACAAGTAAATTAATGAACTGAATGAAACTGCTTATTTAAAATATGAACTCCACAATTAAGAGAGCAAAAGAAGGGACCAGGTATGGTCCATGCAATAAACTTTTGGAATTTATTGTAAAATAATATGAACTAACTTTATCTTCTCAAGAAATTCACTCAGAGATTAGAGGGCACAAAAATGGAATTTCCGTAAATACTATTGGACCAAAATAGATTAAAAAAACAAATCTGGAAATAGAAGAACACAATCTTATAGTAATCCCTTCTCAAAACAGGATAGAGCTGAAACAATATTGAATTTTTCTATAGTTTTTTTCTAAACCACTAAGAAGAAAATCACAGAGCATGGAGTAAGTAAATCAAATAAAAATGGTAACAAAATTACTACTTACACCATCATAAAAGCCTCTTAGGTATAATTTCTCCTTTGCTTCTGCAAGTTTTTCTCGGTCATTCTGGCTCTGAACTTTCAACTCATCACACATGGTTACAGCAGAAAGCTGTCCAAAACCTGGAATTTCAATGACTGGCACCTGCAAAAAAGAGCAATGTCAGAACTTATTCACATTGAATAAACACAAAAACAGCCCTAAAGGCATAGTCCTTTTGCCTCTACTGTCCAATGAAGTCACTTCAGATCTTATATATCACTAGGGCAGTGTCACACATTAGGGACTAACATCCAGATGTGAATGTGTCCTCCTACTCTCCATAGGAACCCCCCGCATTCTCTGCACCAACCCCCGCACTGTCCCTCCCTCACTACATACACAACTTCCTCAGCTCTCAACCCCACACTGGCACATAATTAATTAAATAATGTTGAAACTAGCAAAACGCTGTAAACAACTAAATTTATGGATGGTCTTATTTCTGGTTTATATTAAGTCTTCTGGATTCTTCATGAAAATTATTCACTAGTAATTTAATTTTTTTTTCTTCTGCAGATACTAATATGAAAACATAAACATTCATGAGTAATATGGCAAAATTTTGTCTTTAGAAGCCTGGAAATTGGCCACACTAGAAAATAAGCTCCTATAAATTGGTAATGCTAAAAGGCTATTTGTTTGTTTCAGAATTACAGGTGCCAGGTGCTAAGAAAATGCCTATTGCTGGTTTTTCTTTTGCTCTTATCCACCACAGCAGATATCATGTTAAAGCAAACAAACTCTTAAACTCCCTCTTATTTCATACTCTACCAATTATGTAATTCTGTGACAAGTAAAGTGCTAGCTGCTCTTTGTTCTCTAATAAAGAAATGGATATTAATATTCTGAATCATCTATGTACTCACAGGCTCAAATGGCAAGACCATGTCATCTCTAATTCCATATTTTGCTCGTAAAGCCTACAAAAAAATTGGAAGTTAATAATAATGATCAATAGTTCACTGGTGCAATAAGTCCCCTACATACGAACAAGTTCCGTTCCCAGAGCACATTCATAAGTCCAATTTGTTCATAAGTCCAATTTGTTCGTAAGTCCAACAAAGTTACCCTAGGTACCCAACTAATACAATCAGCTATATAGTACTGTACTGTAACAGGTTTATAATACTTTTCACACAAATAATACATACAAGACGAACAAACACAAAAAATAAAGAAAATATTTTTAATCTTACAGTACAGTACCTTGAAAAGTATATTACAATAGTACTGTACAACAGCTGGCATACAGGGGCTGGCATCAAGTGGACAGGCAAGAAGAGTTACTGACTGGAGGAGGGACAGGAGGTGGGAGATGATAGAGCTGAAGGATCATCAGCAACAGGACACGGAGGGCAAGCTGCAAGTTCACTCATGCCTAACATGGATGGCACAGGTTCTGGTTCCTTGCTGGAACCAGATGCACATTCGCAGCTTTCAAAGTTCACAACCTGAAGGTTCATATATAGGGGACTTACTGTACAATCATTAAGAGAAGCACCCTCCAAACTTTTTTAAACTATTTTTGTTTTTCCCTCCACAGAGAGCAATTTTTTAATTTTACAAAATATCTCAAGAAAGGACGTATGATTTTAAAAAACTAAACAGTTTAAGTTAGAGTGAATGATTTAAATGATGAAACTGTACAGCCAAAAGCAAAAATGCACGCACGCATGCACACACACACACACACACACACACACACACACACACACACACACACACCACTTAAAATGAGGTTCATATTCCAGGTTGCAATGAAAATGTGAATATTAGAAAATTTTTCTCAAATCTTTTTTCAAAAGTTTTATGAAATCCATCACATCAACAGGTTAAAAAAGAATAATCACACAATCATATCAACAGATGAAAAAAAGTATTTGGCCAAATCCAATACCTATTCAAGATAAAAACTCTCAGTAAACTAGAATAGAAGCAGATTTTCTCAACTTGGTAAAGACTATGTATAAAAAACCTACAGCTAGGGAATTCCCTGGCGGTCCAGTGGTTAGGACTCCGTGCTTTCAATGCCAGGGGGCAGGGTTCAATCCCTGGTCGGGGAACCAAGATCCCACAAGCCACGCAGTGTGGCCAAAGAAAAAAACAAACAAACAAACAAAAAACCAACCTACAGCTAAAATCATACTTGATGATTTTCAAAAAATTCAAAGCTTTCCCACTAAGATCAGACACAATACATATCCCCTCTCACTACTCCTTTTCAACATCATACTGAATGCTCTTGGTAATTAAATAAGGCAAGAAAAGAAAAGGTATACAGACTGCGAAGGAAGACAAAACTGTCATTGTTTGCAGATAGCATGATCACCTATGTAGAAAATCCAAAAGAATCAACAAAAAAAAGTCCTAGAACTAACAGGCAATTATAGAAAGGTTGCAGGATACACGGCTAAAACACAAAATTCAATGGTGTTCCTATATACCAACAATTAACAAATGGAACTTGAAATTAAAAACACAATACCATTTACATTAGTAACCCCCAAAATTAAATACAGTTGCCCCTTCAACAACATGGGGGTTAGTGGTGCCAACTACCCCAAGCAGTCAAAAATCTGCATATATCTTTACAGTCAGACCACTGTATCCATGGTTCCACATCTGCAAATTCAATCAACCACAGATCACCTGGTACTGTAGTACATATTTATTGAAAAAAAGACTTATAAATGGACCTGCACAGTTCAAACCTGTGTTGTTCAATTGCACTTAGGTACAAAACTAACAATGTAAATGTAAGATATGAGGAAAACTACAAAACTCTGATGAACAGCATCAAAGAAGAACTGAATAAATGGAGAGATATTCCATGTTCAAGGATTAGAAGACATAATGTTGTCAAGATGTCAGTTCTTTTCAACTTAACCAACAGATTCAATACACTCTCAATCAAAATTCTAGCCAGTTACTTTATGGATATCAACAAACTGATTCCAAAGTTTATGTGGAGAGGAATAAGCTCCAGGATAGCCAACTCAATATAAAAGAAGAATAAAGTTAGAAGACTGACACTGTCTGACTTCAAGACTTACTTATAATAAAGTTATAATAACCAAGATAGTGTGGTGCTGGCAAAAGAACAGACAGATAGATCAATGGAACATAACAGAGAGCCCAGAAAGAGTCCCTCATAAATACAGTCAACTGATCTTTGACAAAGGAGCAAAGGCAATACAATGGAGCAAAGACAGTCTCTTCAACAAATGTTACTGGAACAACTGGACATCCACAAGCAAAAAAATGAATTTAGACACAGACCTGACACTCAACACAAAAATTAACTCAAAACAGATCATGGACCTAGATGTAAAACACAAAACTATAAAACTCCTAGAAGATAACACAGGAAAAAACCTAAATGTCCACGCATATGGTGATGCCTTTTTAGATACAACACCAAAGACATAATCTATGAAAGAAATCATTGATAAGCTGGACTTCATTAAAATTAAAAAGTTCTTCTCTGCAAAAGACAACATCAAGAGAATTGAAAGACAAACCACACACTGAGAAAAAATATTTTCAAAAAACACATCTGATAAAGGACTCTTAAATATACAAAGAACTCTTAAAACTCAACAATAAGAAAACAAACAACCTGATTTAAAAAATAAGGCTTCCAGGAGCAGGCTCTGGGGAAGGGGTGGCAGGCACCATGTTGGGCCCTGAAGGTGGCGAGGAGAAGCCCCTGAAGCACGCCAAGAAGCAAGCCAAGGAGATAGACAAGGAAGGTAAGGCATTCAAGCAGAAACAGAAGGAGGAGCAGAAGAAACTCAAGGAGCTAAAAGCGAAGGCCGCAGGGAAAGGCCCCCCTGGCCACAGGTGTTATTAAAAAATCTGGCAAAAAGTAAGCTGTTCCTTGTGTTTGAGGCAATGATGATCCTAATTCCATTCCTGTTTAAACATCTGAACTCCCTGCCATAGTATCTGTTGCCACTTATAGCTAGAATGAAGTGTTGTCTTGGAACCTATTGTACATTTAAGAATAAACTTTTGTTAAAAAAAAAAATCATACAGTGGCTCATCTTGTCTTTAGTTCTCAGCCATTTCTTAGCTTATGAGACCTGCATAAACCCAGCCCAGAAGCCTGCCAAAATGTGTTCTTAAGTCTTGGTTCTATCCTGAATTCTGTACCACCTATAATTAAAACAACTCATTTAAAATAAATAAATAAATCAGCCAAAGACCTTAACAGACAAATCTCACCAAAGAAGATACACAGATGGCAAACAAGCATATGAAAAAACACTCCACAACATCTGCCATCAAGAAAATGCAAAATAAAACAATGAGATATGACTACACACCAATTACAATGGCCAAAATCTGGAAAACTGACAATACCAAATGCTGACAAGGATGTGGAGCAACAGGAACTCTCATACATTGCTGGTAAGAATGCAAAATGGTACAGCCACTTTGGAAGACAGTTTGGTGGTTTCTTACAAAATTACACATACTTTTACCATATGATACAGCAATCGCACTCCTTGGTGTTTACGCAAAAGAGTTGTCTATACAATATCCTGCACACGGATGTTTACAGCAGCTTTACTCATAACTGCCAACACTTGTTAGCAACCAAGATGTTCTTCATCAGGTGAATGAATAAATGTACATCCAGACAACAGAATATTATTAGTGCTAAAAAGAAATATGCTATCAAGCTATGAAAAGACATGAGAAACCTTAAATACATATTGCTAATTGAAAGAAAATCTAAGAAGGCTACATACTGTATGATTCCAACTATATGACTTTCTGGGAAGGTAAAACTATGGTGACAAAAAAAAAGATCAGTGGGGACTTCCCTGGTGGTCCAGTGGTTAAGACTCCACACTCCCAACGCAGGGGGCCAGGGTTTGATCCTTGGTCAGGGAACTAGATCCCACATGCTGCAACGAAGATCACACGTGTCCTAACTAAGACCCGGAGGGAGGGAGGGAGGGAAGGAGGGAGGGAGGGAGGGAGGGAGGAAGGGAAGAAGGGAGGGAGGAAGGAAGGAAGGAAGGAAGGAAGGAAGGAAGGAAGGAAGGAAGGGAGGGAGGGAGGGAGGGAGGGAGGGAGGGATCAGTGGTTGCCAGGGGTGGGAGGGAGGAGAGACGAACAAAAAGACCACAGAGGTTTTTTTTTTTTTTTTCCCAGTACGCGGTCCTCTCACTGTTGTGGCCTCTCCCACTGCAGCGCACAGGCTCCGGACGCACAGGCTCAGCGGCCCAGCCGCTCCACGGCATGTGGGATCTTCCCGGACCGGGGCACAAACCCATGACCCCTGCATCAGCAGGCGGACTCTCAACCACTGCGCCACCAGGGAAGCCCGAGCACAGAGGATTTTTAAGGCAGTGAAAATCCTGTGTAGTATAATGATGGACACATGTTATTATACATTCGTCCAAATCCACAGAATGTACACCACCAAGAGTGAACCCTAAGGTAAACTACGGACTTTGGGTGATTATGATGTGTCAATGTAGGTTCATCTTCAGTAAAAAAAAAAAAAAAAAGTACCACTCTGGTGAGTGATACTAATAATGGGGGAGGCTATGCAGGTGTTGAAGCAGGGGGTATATGGGAAATCTCTGTACCTTCCTCTCAATTTTTATTATGAACCTAAAACTGCTCTAAAAAAATAAGTCTTAAAGATTCTATGGGGGGCTTCCCTGGTGGCGCAGTGGTTGAGAGTCTGCCTGCCGATGCAGGGGACACGGGTTCGTGCCCCGGTCTGGGAAGATCCCACCTGCCACGGAGCGGCTAGGTCCGTGAGCCATGGCTGCTAAGCCTGCGCATCCGGAGCCTGTGCTCCGCAATGGGAGAGGCCACAACAGTGAGAGGCCCGCGTACCGCAAAAAAAAAAAAAAAAAAAAAAAAAAAAGATTCTATGGGGACTTCCCTGGCAGTCCAGTGGTTAAGACTCCACGCTTACACTGCAGCGGGGCGTGGATTCTATCCTTGGTCAGGGAACTAAGATCCCACATGCCACACAGCACAGCCAAAAAAAAAAAAAGATTCTATAAATTTTACATCGATATTTAAAATTCAAATCATAGAAAAACATATAAATATCAAGAAACAGGTTAAAGGTAGCATTTCAAAGATACACGCATAGCTTTTTAGCCTAATCCAATAATTAGTTCAGTGGTACCTAACCAATGAGATGATGAAGAGGAAATAGGAACATGAAACACAGATACTCACTTGCTTTTTCTTCAAGTCTCTGAAGGCAGCAAAATCATCGGGGGAGTCAGAAGGAACACTTGTGACCACACCAGTACCTTATAAAAGAAACTGTAGAATTAACTAATATAACCAGAATGCGTTTCGCAAAGAATTTCTAGAAAGAAATAAACTCTTTACCTTTATCCTCCTTGATGGTGAGCATTGGGAGAACATAGATCACCTTATAGGATGTTAAAGGTGCAGAAAGTGATGCACCAAGAATATCCTATGTAAGAAAAAGATCAGCATAAAACAGAAGTAACTTATTCTAATCATTAAAATTTAAAACAATGTTAACATTTTAAGCCCTGAGAAGCTAATAATCAACAACACTCATTCTTTTATACCTACTAGACTAAAAATAATTGAAAATAATTATAATACCCAAATCTTGCAAGGTTGTGAGGAAATTAGTACACTTATACATTGCTTGAGGAAAACAATATAGGAATCCAACTTGGACCCAGCAATCCAATCCTAGGAATTTACCTCACAGGAAAAAGAATTATTTTTTCTTTGAGAATCTCCCCAATGCTGTGTTAACTACATTAGCAAAACCTGGAAACAACTAAAACTTTAAATGATAAAAAAATCACTTAATAAAATATGAAACATCAACAAGATAGAATACTGTATCTCTATTTTAAATGATAATTAGGAAGACAAACTGAATTAAAAAGATGTATCTTAAAAGAAAAAATCAGAAGGTCGGATAATACTGGACCCATATTCTCATGTATCAACAAACAGCTTGCGGGGCTTCCCCAGCAGTCCAGTGGTTAAGACTCCACACTTCCAATGCAGGGAGCTCAGGTTCAATCCCTGGTCAGGGAACTAAGATCCCACATGCCGCTCGGCACAGCCAAAAAAAAACAAAACAAAACACACAAACAGCTTGCAGCTGCTTGTTTACCTAAGGAATGCACTTTTCAATTCCATATAGTTCCCACCCTTCCACTTTATTAATATACATAAGCTGCTTATGGAATTTATAGTCATATAGGATAAAGGCTAAATATAATAATAGCCTTAAAGGTTGAAAGCTATTTTTAAATTTATACCACCCATTTTCCTCATTCCAGAATCTGTTCAAATTAACATGGAAAAAAGTTGCATTTAAGAACAGGAAAAAAACACACCAAAAATATACACATTTATGACTTAACACATTTGACTGTAACGTATACCTCAATTAAAAGGTTTTTTTAAATGTTTTCTCAAACTTCATTTTTGACATTTTCCTCTAAATTCATGCACTAAAATAAAGTCTGTTACCCAACTTACCTCTCCCATTAACTCTTTAACAACAGGCACCACTCCACTGTCCTTGGTAAAGCCCTGGTATGACATATTCCTTGCGGCTCTTTGGGTGCAGATGAATATATCTCCATTCACTGTCTCAAATCCAATGTACTTCATATGAGGGCAAACCCAACAGTTTGTCTGTCCAAACATGGTCTCAGGTCTGAGAGTAGCAGCTACCAAGAAGATATTTTTCCCTTTCAAGCCACTAGGAAGAAAAAATATACATTTATGCAAAAAACATTATGGATTCCATCACAACTATCTGATATTTCAAAAAGATGAAGCAGGGCTTCCCTGGTGGCGCAGTGGTTGAGAGTCCGCCTGCCGATGCAGGGGACACGGGTTCGTGCCCCGGTCCAGGAAGATCCCACATGCCGCGGAGAAGCTGGGCCCGTGAGCCATGGCCACTGAGCCTGCACATCCGGAGCCTGTGCTCCACAACGGGAGAGGCCACAGCAGTTAAGAGGCCCGCGTACGGCAAAAAAAAAAAAAAAAGATGAAGCAACAATTCTTCTACCTATTAAGATAGGTAGCAAACCTACCTTAATTTGGATGGGTATGGCTCAAGCACTTTCAACTTGATTAAAGTATATTCCTGAGGTCCAACACCCTAAACAAAATAAAACAAAAATTCAAGGGAGAAAGAAAGGCTTGGACTACACCTACTAATCTATGTGAGAGATCTGATTCAAATTTCTAAAATGGGTTCCTGCATTGTTAGAATAATTCTTTCTCCCAATGAAGAGACTGCCAGTGGTGTGCTGACCACATGGAAGCCTAATGTGTAAAAATGACTTGAAGACCACCATCCCACCCCACACCAGACCAAAACCGATCAAGGAGGCCCAGACTGTACTAAGTAAGATTTGCTAAGAGCTCCCTTGAGAGGGAAGAACAGCGGGAAAAAAAAATGAAGTGACTTGGATTAATCAGCCAAAATAGTATTTGCCAAAATGGGAGTTAGAAGATACAACCAACATCAATCCTACAGAGCAGTCATCACAGACATACACTGGACCAGGGGTCAGATGATGTGCATTCAAAACCTAGCTTGGGCCCTCACTTGTGGCTTGACCCAAGGAGTCACAATCACTCTGAGCCTTCATTTCCTCATCTGTAAAATAACTGTGCTGTGACTCATACAGGACTGTCCTGAGGAAAACCTAAGATAATGATAGGAAAATGCTGTGAAAAACTATGATGTACTATTGAAATTTAGGATACTGCTACCACTGACTATATTAAAACTTAGCATAGTAAACTGGGCCTTTGAAGGCCCTCAAATCTTTCAAAATTATGATTAACACTCATTTCTGTCAAATAAGTTACATCATAATTGAAGGCTGATTTTGAAAGGTAGTTGCTAGACTACAAATGTGTTCAAAGGTGGTAACAAAGTATGACACACTCATAGGGACTGCAAAGTTCAGATCCTGGCATTGCTGTTGATTTACTGTGCCAAGGCTTTAGGCAAATGACTTACCCTTACTTCATTCAAGTATTACAAGGAATAATGTCACGAATGTGTCCTACAGGAATGTAGAATGAACTGATGTCATGCATGGCTGGAAGTACTTTGGAAATAAGTAAGTAGGCATGTGACCAAAGCAAGTATAAATGGAATCTGCGTACAACAGTTAACCACATATCTCATTACCTTTCCTCATGCTCTCCTTTTAGAGCAGTGCACTCTCCAAGCAGTTCTTCTCAAACATTAGCAGGCATATGAATCACACTGAGAACACATTAAGACAGGTTCCTAGGCCCCACCCCCAGAGCTTCTGATTCAGCAATTTGGGAGTGAGGTTCAAGAATCTGCTTTTCTAGGATTTCCCAGGCAGTCCAGTGGTTAGGACTCTGCGCTTTCTCTACCAAGTTGCCTGGGTTCGATCCCTGGTCAGGGAATCCCACAAGCCAGGCACAGCAGCCAAAGAAACAAAACAAAAACAAAAAACAGACGAACAGGGCTTCCCTGGTGGCGCAGTGGTTGAGAATCTGCCTGCTAATGCAGGGGACACGGGTTCGATCCCTTGTCTGGGAAGATCCCACATGCCGCAGAGCAACTAGGCCCGTGAGCCACAACTACTGAGCGTGCGCGTCTGGAGCCTGTGCTCCGCAACAAGAGAGGCCGCGATAGTGAGAGGCCCGCACACCGCGATGAAGAGTGACCCCCGCTCGCCTCAACTAGAGAGGACCCTCGCACAGAAACAAAGACCCAACACAGCCAAATATAAATAAATAAATAAATTTAAAAAAAAAAAAAAAAAAAAAAACAGACGAACAAACAAAAATGTGCTTTTCTAACACAAGCTGATGCAGCTGAACCTAGTGCTACTCTTGGAGTAGCAAGGTCCTTAACAAGATACAGGTACCTATGATGACATTCTGCCTCTGGCTTAACAGCCACCAGAGTATCATGACTATACACCTCAGCACTGAAATAAAGTGATTTTTAGATTTCTAATCTATTTCTTAAACTCTATACCCACATTAAGAATTATTACAATAGGGACTTCCCTGGTGGCACAGTGGTTAAGAATCCGCCAGCCAATGAAGGGGACACGGGTTCAAGCCCTGCTCCGGGAAGATCCCACTAGCCGCAGAGCAACTAAGCCCATGTGCCACAACTATTGAACCCGCGTGTCAAACTACTGAAGCCTGAGCGCCTAGAGCTCACACACCTAGAGCCCATGCTCCACAACAAAGAGAAGCCATCGCAATGAGAAGCCTGAACACCACAACAAAGAGTAGCATCCACTTGCCGCAATTAGAGAAAAGCCCACATGCAGCAACAAATACCCAACACAGCCAAAAATAATCAAACAAGTAAATTTATTTAAAAAAAGAATTATTACAATAGCTACTCTATGGCACAAATAATTACCTCTCCAGTTTGTCTGTCATGATCCATACAAGGCTGTCCATCTTTTGGAGAATAAATGGTATACCTAAAAAATAAGTAAGTGACAAATATTATTATAACGTACAAGTTTTATCCTAACATATTTGCCAGTGTTGCACCTAACCATCACAATATTTCTTCTAACTAAAACTTCTAAATGAGCAGATGTCTACATCATTTTTATGCTTTTATGGCGAGTTCTACTGCCAACATAGTTATTTAATGAAAGCTTTCTGCCTTCATCAAAGGTAATACCACTGAAAAATATTCACTGATCTTGGCTTTATGGTATGAAACAGAAGACTGTAAAATATAAATTTGCCTTTAAAATGAAAATAGCATAAGGCAGACAGCAGAAGAACTACAATCCTGCAGCCTGTGGAACAAAAACCACATTCACAGAAAGACAGACAAGATGAAAAGGCAGAGGGCTATGTACCAGATGAAGGAACAAGATAAAACCCCAGAAAAACAACTAAATGAAGTGGAGATAGGCAACCTTCCAGAAAGAGAATTCAGAAAAATGACAGTGAAGATGATCCAGGACCTCGGAAAAAGAATGGAGGCAAAGATCGAGACGATGCAAGAAATGTTTAAAAAAGACCAAGAAGAATTAAAGAACAAACAAACAGAGATGAACAATACAATAAATGAAATGAAAACTACACTAGAAGGAATCAATAGCAGAATAACTGAGGCAGAACGGATAAGTGACCTGGAAGACAGAATGGTGGAATTCACTATTGCGGAACAGAATAAAGAAAAAAGAATGAAAAGAAATGAAGACAGTCTAAGAGACCCTGAGATAACATTAAACGCAACAACATTCGCATTATAGGGGTCCCAGAAGCAGAAGAGAGAGAGAAAGGACCTGAGAAAATACTGGAAGAGATTACAGTCAAAAACTTCCCTAACATGGGTAAGGAAAGAGCCACCCAAGTCCAGGAAGCGCAGAAAGTCCCATACAGGATAAACCCAAGAAGAAATACACCGAGACACACAGTAATCAAACTGGCAAAAATTAAAGACAAAGAAAAATGATTGAAAGCAGCAAGAGAAAAACAACAAATAACATACAAGGGAACTCCCATAAGGTTAACAACTGATTTCTCAGCAGAAACTCTACAAGCCAGAAGGGAGTAGCATGATATACTTAAAGTGATGAAAGGGAAGAACCTACAACCAAGATTACTCTCCCCTGCAAGGATCTCATTCAGATTCGATGGAGAAATCAAAAGCTTTACAGACAAGCAACAGCTAAGAGAATTCAGCACCACCAAACCAGCTCTACAACAATGCTAAAGGAACTTCACTAAGTGGGAAACACAAGAGGAGAAAAGGACCAACAAAAACAAACCCAAAACAATTAAGAAAATGGTCATAGGAACATACATATCGATAATTACCTTAAACGTGAATGGATTAAATGCGCCAACCAAAAGACACAGGCATAGAGGGAACCTACCTCAACATAATAAAGGCCATATACGAAAAACCCACAGCCAACATCATTCTCAATGGTGAAAAACTGAAAGCATTTCCTCTAAGATCAGGAACGAGACAAGGATGTCCACTCTCACCACTATTATTCAACATAGTTTTGGAAGTTCTAGCCACGGCAATCAGAGAAGAAAAAAAAATAAAAGGAATACAAATTGGAAAAGAAGAAGTAAAACTGTCATTGTTTGCAGATGACATGATACTACACATAGAGAATCCTAAAGATGCCACCAGAAAACTACTAGAGCTAATCAATGAATTTGGTAAAGTTGCAGGATACAATATTAATACACAGAAATCTCTTGCATTCCTATACACTAATGATGAAAAATCTGAAAGAGAAATTAAGGAAACGCTCCCAATTACCATTGCAACAAAAAGAATACAATACCTAGGAATAAACCTACCTACGGAGACAAAAGACCTGTATGCAGAAAACTATAAGATACTGATGAAAGAAATTAAAGAGGATACCAACTGATGGAGAGATAGACCATGTTCTTGGATTGGATGAATCAATACTGTGAAAATGACTATACTACCCAAAGCAATCTACAGATTCAATGCAATTCCTATTAAATTACCAATGGCATTTTTTACAGAACTAGAACAAAAAACCTTAAAATTTGTATGGAGACACAAAAGACCCCGAGTAGCCAAAGCAGTCTTGAGGGAAATAAACGGAGCTGGAGGAATCAGACCCCCTGACTTCAGACTATACTACAAAGCTACAGTAATGAAGACAATATGGTACTGGCACAAAAACAGAAACACAGATCAATGGAACAAGATAGAAAGCCCAGAGATAAACCCACGCACCTATGGTCAACTAATCTCTGACAAAGGAGGCAAGGATATACAATGGAGAAAAGACAGTCTCTTCAATAAGTGATACTGGGAAAACTGGACAGTTACATGTAAAAGAATGAAATTAGAACACTCCTTAACACCATACACAAAAATAAACTCAAAATGGATTCGAGACCTAAATGTAAGACTGGACACTATAAAACTCTTAGAGGAAAACGTAGGCAGAACACTCTTTCACATAAATCACAGCAAGATCTTTTTTGATCCACCTCCTAGAGTAATGGAAATAAAAACAAAAATAAACATATAGGACCTAATGAAACTTCAAAGCTTTTGCACAGCAAAGCAAACCATAAACAAGATAAAAAAACAACCCTCAGAATGGGAGAAAATATTTGCAAACGAATCAATGGACAAAGGATTAATCTCCAAAATATATAAATAGCTCATGCAGCTCAATATTAAAGAAACAAACAACCCAATCCAAAAGTGGGTAGAAGACCTAAATAGACATTTCTCCAAAGAAGACATACAGATGGCCAAGAAGCACATGAAAAGCTGCTCAACATCACTAATTATTAGAAAAATGCAAATCAAAACTACAATGAGGTATCACCTCACACCAGTCAGAATGGGCATCATCAGAAAATCTACAAACAACAAATGCTGGAGAGGATGTGGAGAAAAGAGAACCCTCTTGCACTGCTGGTGGGAATGTAAATTGATACAGCCACTATGGAGAACAGTAATGGAGCTTCCTTAAAAAACTACAAATAGAATTAGCATATGATCCAGCAATCCCACTACTGGGCATATACCCAAAGAAAACCATAATTCAAAGAGACACATGTACCCCAATGTTCATTGCAGCACTATTTACAATAGCCAGGTCATGGAAGCAACCTAAATGCCCATCGACAGGCGAATGGATAAAGAAGATGTGTTACATATATACAATGGAATATTACTCAGCCATAAAAAGGAATGAAATTGGTTCATTTGTTGAGACGTGGATGGATCTAGAGACTGTCATACAGAGTGAAGTTAAGTCAGAAAGAAAAACAAATATCGTATATTAACGCATGTATGTGGAACCTAGAAAAATGGTACAGATGAACCAGTTTGCAGGGCAGAAGTTGAGACAGAGATATAGAGAACAAATGTATGGACACCAAGGGGGGAAAGCCGCTATGGGGGTGGGTATGGTGGTGTGCTGAATTGGGTGATTGGGATTGACATGTATATACTGATGTGTATAAAATGGATGACTACTAAGAACCTGCTGTATAAAAAAATTAATAAAATAAAATTCAAAAATTAAAAAAATTGCAAATTGCTTTTAATTAATCCATATAATCAAGGAAGAACTTTATAGAAGATTTTATAGAGCAAAAAGATAAACTAAAACACAAATAAGTTTATTTTTCTACTTGGCTAGAATACTTAAGAGAATCTTTAGTGAGAACGTAAGAGAGAATCTTTAGTGAGACCCCTATTCTCCCTGGTTCTATTTGTCACAACCACTAAGCAGCTCAGAGAAACTGAGACACCAGCCAGACAAAAAGGAATTCAAAGGAAACAAGAGAACAAAAAGAGAAATTATAAAAAGAGAAAAGATAATGGAAAAAAGTAAGCTCTGGGGCACACTGAATTATAATGCAGGAATTACATGATTTTTACTTTATTATACCGAAGGACAACAAACTCACCGCTTCCCAAATTTAATTTTGCTTCTTTCTCTTAATGTTAAAAACTGCCACCTGACAAACGAGTCATAGTAAGGATTAACATCAGTGGTGATGAAGGAACGACGCCAGTCTACCTACAGAAGGAGAAAGGAAAAGGTAATTTTTGAGAAATTTATATGGTCTCTATGAACAGGAATTCCCATGAATCAATTATTTACTCTTCTACTCCGTATTTTCCAACTTAGAATTATATCAAAAATATCAAAGGAAACCAAAAAATTTCAAGTTCCACCTATTAAATATATAATACGTCATAATTACGTTAATTTGTGCTTAATATGTAAGTTTTTAAACACACACATTTACCTATTAAACATACAGGAATTATAAGAAATTAAGAAGGAGCATTTACATAACACCTTTATGTATCCCTAAATATTCAAGCTACACTTGGGCTTCTTCTTATCTTTTTTTTTTTTTTTTTTAAATTTTATTGGAGTATAGTTGATTTACAATGTTGTGGGCTTCTTCATATTCTTTGAATAGAATTCCTTTCTACTAATTGTTAATATATGTATATACATTCCAAAACAACAAATATTGAAGTACTTCATTGCTTACATTGAGGCCCATGTGGTTCTAATCTGACAATAACAGTACTGAGTCATTACTGGAATATACTATTCTAAATTAAGAGGTAGTCCAAATCTCATTCAATCACACAAATATAATGTATTTTTCATATTTCCTTAAACTCTGGGGGTGATGGGCATACCTTCAAACCCATTCTCTTCAGATCCTGAACAGCCAGTGGTGGGAAATAGTCAAGCCAATATTCTGCTTCAGAAAATTTGACTATCTCTTCATCAGACAGACCAAGGGATTTCATAATGTCCCACTGGTATTTAGAAGATCCAGCTTTAGCAGCAGCTTTACTCTGAAAATAACAGCAAAACCAAACTCCATCAAAGAATAACTAACAACTGGCTAACAAATTCCAGGACCACAGTAATTTTAAGTGAATAATCCTATTTGGTAGTTTTTTAAAATCTAAAACAGTACTGTTGACATGTCAGAATAGTGCAGGATCTGGATGTACTGTTCTGTTTGCCAAACCATATAGTCTGATACCTGGATTCTGACACCAAAGATAACTATCAATACAGAGGTGGAACCATAAAAAGTTATCATCACAAAGATAAGATCTTAGCACCAAACCTTCTCTATTTCCTTTTTTCAAATACCATATGCATCTTTTTTAGTTATGAATAAGCTGCTAACAAGAGTTTCCTCCTTTTCCAATATTTACCAATATCAAAAAGGTAACCACATGCCAGAGACTGGAGGTAGGCAAAAAGGCTGAATTATAAAAAGGTAGGACAAGGAATCTGGGGGCTGAGGAAACTGTTCTGTATAGTACTGTGGTGGTAGAAACATGACTCCATGCACTTGTCAAACCAACACAACGATACCCTGTGAAGAGTGAGAGAGAGATGGAGGAAAGGAGGGAGGGAGGGAAGGAGGGAGGGAGGGAGGGAGGAAGAGAGGAAAGGAAAGGAAAGGAAAGGAAGGAAAGGAAGGAAGGAAGGAAGGAAGGAAGGAAGAGTTTACATTAATTAAAAAAAAACTTATTTAAAAAATATAAAGAAATTTTTTAAAATGTATAAAGAAATAAATACAGACACGTACATATAAGTGGGTTAGTAGACATACATATATTTCCTTGCTCTTTCTACTGAGAGGACCTAGAAACAATGAGCATAACTAGCACTCAGAACTTAGTTTCTAAATACCATATTTCAATAAAAGGAAAGAGGACTCCTTGGAAAAGTGGTTGACTCTGGGGCTAAAACAGGGAAAATACAAAATGAGCCTGGAGCATCTTGTGGCACCTGAATGTATAGAAGTGCTCAAAAAAAAAAAAAAAAAAAAAAGAAAAGAAAAGAGAAAGAAAGAAATAGAAAAAGGAAAAAAGATGGGGGCATGTCAAATGGACACAGGAGCCCACCTAAAAGATTCCCCCAATGGCCATTGCTAGAACAATTTGAGCAATAACAATAACTCAAAAAAACCCAATAGGATTAGATTATAACCCAAAGAATAAATAAATATGCATGAATCCACACTGATATAAAAAAGAAATTAACAGATAAGTAAATGAGGGAGAAAAAACAACTTTTCCTTTCAGAAGAATTCCAGATAATAAATGTAGAAGGAATGAGGGAAACTGAAAATCACCATTAGAACAAAATATGCAGCAATAACCACTGCAGGGAAGATCCAATGATGAATGCTAAAATTAGTGAGCAAATATATAAAAAGAAACAAGATATTGGGACTTCCCTGGTGATCCAGTGGGTAAGACGCCGCACTCCCAGCACAGGGGGCCCGGGTTCGATCCCTGGTCAGGGAACTAGATCCTGCATGCATGCCACAGCTAAGAGTTTGCATCACAACTAAGAGTCCACATGCCACAACTAAGAAGCCCGAATGCCACAACTAAGAAGTCCACATACCACACACAACTAAAAGATCCTGCATGCCACAATGAAGATCCCGAGTGCCACAACTAATACCCAATGCAGCCAAAATAAATAAAAGTCTTTAAAATATAAAGCATACAATGCAATGGTTTAAAAACAAAAAAAGAAACAAGGTATTATTTCCATAGCCTCAAAGTATCTCTCTCAAAACAAACAATGAATTACAAAGGGAAAAATAAAATCTTCACAGGAGAAAGACCTAACAGACACCACCCAAACCAAATAATCAAGGTTAACAGCACCAGTAATAAGATATATCAATATCTTATACTCCCTGATATGATGCACTGAGGACATATCACCTCTCAATCTACTCATGAGAAAGCATTAGACAAACCCAAAATGAGGGACATTCTATAAGTTATCTGACCAGTACTCTTCAAAAGTGCCAAGATCATGGAAGACAGAAGAAAAGACATGAGAAGGAAATGCAAAATGGGATTTTGGACTGGATCTTGGAACAGAATAAGGATATTAAGGAAAAACTGTTAAATCCAAATGAAGTATGTAGTTTCTTAAACAGTATTGTTCAATGTTGGTTTCTTAGTTTTGAGAACTGTACCATGGTTATATAAGATGTAACTGGGTTAAGATTCTAAGGGAACCCTGTACAATCCTGTAATTCTTCTGTAAGTCTAAAATTATGTCAAAATAAAGTAAAAAGGGGAAAAAAAGGCAATCAAAAAGTGAGAAAGATAATTCTGCTTTATTACTTTTTAAAAATTACTGAGTATTTTTTATGTGTCAGGTACTATGCTAGTACTGGGAATGTACATATAAATCAGACAAATATAAATATAAAACTTCAACCAAAATAAGTATGATCAAACCACCAAACCTTTTTTCCTTTAGCTTTATCCTTAATTATTATATCTTCTGTTTTAATACTGATTTCTTCTTCTTCCTCTTCCTCATCTGGAAAATCAGGGGGGCAACCATAAAGCTCTATTTCTCTTTTCAATTTATCAGCACATGCCTACAAAAAAACACAACATTAGAGATGGTAAAGTTAAAAATTCAAGGTGGAAACAATTTGAGTTTTGTTGTTGTTTCTATGGCCAACTAAAACTGACTCTGGGGCTTCCCTGGTGGTGCAGTGGGTAAGAATCCACCTGCCAGTGCAAGGGACACGGGTTTGAGCCCTGGTCCGGAAAGATCCCACATGCCGCGGAGCAACTAAGCCCGTGCGCCACAACTACTGAGCCTGCACTCTAGAGCCCTCGTGTCACAACTACTAAAGCCCGCGTGCCCACAACTACTGAAGCCCACGTGCCTAGAGCCCGTGCTCCATAACAAGAAAAGTCACTGCAATGAGAAGACTGTGCACCGCAATGAAGAGCAGCCCCTTCTCGCCACAACTAGAGAAAGCTCGCACACAGCAATGAAGACCCAACACAGCCAAAAATAAATAAAAAAAAAAATTTATTTATTTAAAAGAAAAACCTGACTCTGAAATTTAGGTAGATAGGACAGACACTAAGTTAGAATACAAACACTGAAAGATGAAGGGATTTATCCAAGGTTATAAAGCTAGTAAGCTGCAGAATTACAACATGAACCTGCACTTTCAACCCCAGCTCTTTTCAGCTGTACCATAAGTCCACTGTCACAAACAAAGATGACACCAAGTAGACAGTGTTAAAGTTATGAGAAAAATACAAATATAGAATTGTGAATTTCAAAAAAGGGAGGGGAGGGCTTCCCTGGTGGTGCAGTGGTTGGGAGTCCACCTGCCGATGCAGGGGATGCGGGTTTGTGCCCCGGTCCGGGAGGATCCCACATGCCGC